ATTCACAACGTAAAATAAAACAACAAATTATTGAGTCTACCCCACGTCTACCCTACATCATAGTTTTACATTTTTTAAATAAAATTAGAACGACACTGATAAACCGGAATTTAAGTCGGCCATATTTGAGGCCCATCGCGGTGTACCTAAGATTTTTGATATGCTCCTTCCTTAGTCTTCCTATTCAAAGATAGGTACTGAGAAAACTCTTGGATTTTTATGAATTAAAGTGAAAGGTTTGTGTCTAAGTCAGTGACGGCTCGTCAGGGTAGGTCTCTGACATGAAGGAACGAATTATTTTTTTGTATCTAGTTTTTTATTTATCCCAGTATAACTTATTACAATTCTACAACACATTCAACATAATAAAACTAAAAAATATATATTTTATAAATACATCCAGATCCAGGGTTACGCATTCTCAATCACAGGGTTGAGGCGTGGTTGAGGCGCGATATTTGGCGCTTAGGTGTGTTTATAGTTTAAATCATCTGACTATTAAAAAATGCGACAAAGTCTGGATCTCGTATGCATGACTCAGGAAGTTAAAGTGCCGGTGGCTGGCCGGTTGTGGTGAGAACAGTGGTGAATTAATTAGCGTATATTTTTGTTTTTATTTAGACATTTAGGGCTAGAATTATTTAGATTGTTTGTGTTTATAAATTTAAATTATTTGATGGCTATTAGATACAGTATTTTTAACTTGATTAGACACAGAGGCAAAGTGGAATTTTAGCAGTTTTAAAATTCAACGCAACAAATATTATTGAAATTTGAAGGTTAGACTTTTCTTGGCCGGTAAGATTTATTTTATTTATTTTAAAGTACTAAATTTATAGTGTTTTCTTTAAAATGAATCCTATTTATATTGTTATTCTTTATATACTTTCTATACTCCTTTTCCAAGACAAAATGAAACTGAAAAAAGACAAATAAATATTAAGGAGTCAAAAATGTTCGCAATATTTAACGATAACTGACAAGGTAGACAATAGGTCACTATTCTAAGTAAAGGTCTAAGTAAAGAAAGAGTTTTTATGAGAAAATCTTTATTAAACTCGAAAACTTATAACTAACGATTATTACATAAGAACAATACAAATAGTTGATATAATTGATAAAAGTGTGTTACACATAATAAGACATAAGAACAAGAAAAACAATTAATGCAAGAATTGATAAATTTTTTAAACATAGTTAATACTATTTTAATATCTTTAATATAAGAGATAAAAATAATTTATTTAAATTAACACTTCATAAACAATATAAGTTGATAAAGACAATAGAAAAACGACACAATATTTGGTGCAATTGATAAAATTGTTTAAAACATAATATGATATTTTAGTACAGGCAAAATATCATAGATGCAATAATTAATGGATTACTTAATTAAATTATACATAAACGATATTAACTATTAAAATTATAAGAACAATAAATAGTTAATTTAATTAATAAATTTGTTTAATTTAATTATTATACCTTTATCAAAAGATATAAATAACATTTTTAATTGATCATTGAATCTAAATATTCATAAATAGTAATTTATAAACGATTTGTACATAATACATAATTAATAATATCATTTTCTCTAAGAAGATATACAGAGTAGTCTCAATTGTAATCAGGAAACAACATAATTCATAACATAATATTTTATCGGATAAAAATAAGTAAATAAGTTTGTATAAATTTATATCCTAAAATGGCTTCGTTTCAGAGATACAGGGTGTAGAAGTTTCATTGTTATTTAGGTTTATTTCCAAACTTCTATACCCCCAAACCAAGCCATTTTAAGACATAAATTTATCCGAACTTTTTTACTTATTTTTATCTGTAGAATATATTCCTGAAGTTTTCAAGTTTGATTACAATTAGGATCACTCTGTATAGAGAATTCGTTATACAAACTATACAGAATAATAACAAAAAATAAATAATAATTATGCTTAATACTGAACTGTACTGCATATAATTAAATCTAAGTATTAAATAAAGAGATCATAGAATCTTAAATCTACATATTTAACCTTATAATTTATTATTGGTAGAATGTTTTGTGATTAAAACGTAGGTTAATAACTATTATAACATAATAATTAAAAATACAAAATAAAAATGTGAGAAAAAACAGCATCTTAATTGGAATTCAAATAAAGAAATGATATAATTTTTAAAACAAAAGTATAATTTTGGTGTGTGTGTATGTTATTAACTAATTATTAATTAATAATTAATGTATTTGATTGAGTAATGATGATAAAATGTAATCGAGGGTTAAAAAACAACTGTTTTTTTTAAGCTTGAATTTCACGCATCCGTTATCCGACGATACGATGATACGATATCAATTTTATTGGTTGAATTTAAAGACTTCGATTGGTTAGAAATTTACGTAGTTTTTAAATTTATTGCATTCTCATGCCTCCGTTCATCGGATATACGATTTTCTTGTGATTGGTGTCATTTTAAATTTTCATTTCCATAACGATTTCGCTGTTTTACTTATAATCTAAGAGCTGACATCGTTTTCGAGAGGATATTTTAAGGAAACTCGTTCTTTAATATATATTTTGCTATGCTCACCTGAACAGGGTGCGGACCGTCTGACTACCGGTATACGTTGCGTTCACTACTGCGCATCATATCTGTAGTCAACATCCGTTCACTACTGCGCATCACAAATTCGCCCTGTATTTCAGGAACTAAGGAGGCTAGGACAAACATATGTGCAGCATATTTAATTCCATAAAGTAGCAGAGTAATGTGAAAAACGCATCATTATATCTCTAATCATAAACGAGAAATCCCATAAACCACACGAAAACGGGATACCCCGTACAGATGTGATGCGCAGTAGTGAACCGCAGTAGTCTACCGGCAGCCAGACGGCCCGCACTTTGGTCGGGGGAGATAGCAAAAGATATATTAAAGAACCAACTTTCTTAAAATTCTCGTTTTCCCGACGTTGCTAGCTCTTGTACTATTATATTTTTATTAAGGTTAGATTAAATTTGTCAAAAAAGTATCAAAACGTCCGTTATCGTACGATCTTTCTCCGTTTACGGATTGGAGTAAAAAATTACGGATGAAAAGTGGCGCGAAAACGCTATGACGAATCAGCGAGTCGTCGGACCATCGTATCCACGGATAACGGACGCATGAAAATCAAACTTAGTTGTTATATAAAACAGTTGTTAAAAAAATTATTTAAATTAATATTGCAAAAAATAATATCAAGTTTTATCAGTTAACAAACTGTTGAAGATGCATTTATTCCAGTGAATGTCAATAAAAAAAATCATTATTAAGAAAGACTTGCTATGGTCAAAACGGTTTACCTGTAACGGAACAGCATATAAAAATATAAACTATACAAGAATAAAATGGACCTGTATAAGTTTCTTTACATAGTATGTAAAAATTAATAAAAACATATTGCGATATTTTTTGCAACATTTTACAACTACGTCATGTAAGTAAGTATTGCTAATTGATTTCATTGCATTTTATAATTGATAATATATTATTTTGATTTGATAGTTAATAATACGATAAATAAAGAACAAGAATCTCTTGCTATTAGATCCTATAATAATAAATTATTTAATTAAATTTAACATTAATAAAAGATATTGCAATATTTCAGACGAAATATAACATAAATTTGATGAAAAATATTGCATTCTTTTAATAAATTTGATTTTATATTATAAAATTAAATAAACATAAACATAACAAAACATAATATTTCTAATATTGCAAACATATTGCGAATTGATGTATCGATCCTGCTTATGGAATTGATAAATAAAAAAGTTGCAAAAATAAATCGATAAAAAATAAATGTAAAATAAGGTGAAGAGTGATTTAGAACAAAAAATTAATTATGTCTCTCCGTTTCGCTGTAAATTCTTATTAACTCTTCTCCTATATCTTGGCGTATCACCATGCCATCTTGGGCGTCGAAGATCGGTTTTCCAAAATTGTACGGGTTGTGTAAATGCCTAAAGAAAAAAATAAAGCAGAATACAGTTAATTGTAAAAAAATACAGTTAATTGTACCATGTCCTTTCTTTAAGAATATTTTGAGAATTAATGCCACTAAAATGGAATACTAAAATTAGGAATATCCACAAGGACACAATTTTCACAGCGGCTCCTGCTTCCTATCGCGAGTCATCGATGCCAGCGTTCTCTAATTTTTATAACTGTTATTTTTTGGAAGAAACAGTTGTTGTGAGCCTCGTAAAATACGTAGCACAGTGGACTGTTATTTTCAATAATGTTCATTTTTGGGAGTAACAACTGTTGTAAACTTGTAAATTGACTTAATTGACAAGCCATAGCTTACGACGCACTGTTATTTTAATATCATGGTATTTTTGGGAAATATCGATCAAATGTTGCGAGCGTGGCAGGATTTCGTGACATAGCCATCGCGAGTTATCGATGTCAAACTGCTGTTATTTCTATAACTGTTATTTTCTGAAAGTAACAGTTAAGAACGTAGTTTTTTTTGAATCATGTTAACTTTTTGGGAGTAACAACTGTTGTAAATTTGCTAGAATTTTGTAACGTGACGAAGCAGACTGCCATTACGAGCCATAGCTTACGGCGCGCTGTTATTTTCATATCTATTATTTTTTCGGAAATATCGATCAACTGTTGCGAGTATGGTAGAATTTCGTGACACAGCGAGATCTGGACTTTAAATAGCAAACCATCGATATATTAACATACAGTTATTTTCACATCTGTTATTCTTTGAGAGTAGCAACTGTTATAAGCCTGGTAAAATCCATTATGACCATCCACCCTGACAGCCCATTATCAGCGACTGCCGTCGGCGGACTGTTATTTTCATACCTGTTATTTTTGAAAATAACAAATGTTACAAACTTAATAGAATTTCAGAATAGAAGCCACAGTGATCCAGATTGTGATCCTTCGATATTACCTTACTGTTATTTTCATGTATGTTATTCTTTGGGGGTAAAAACTGTTGTAAGCCTGGTAAAACCTGGGTGGTGGCGATTCTGATATCACATCACCAGCGGCCACTGTCGCGGACCGATATTTTCGTACCTATTATTTTTAAAGTAATAACTGTTGCAAGCATAATAAAAAGTCTTGGCATACCGATTCACACTCTGCGTAGTGAGCCATCAATGTTATGGCACTGTTATTTTCATATGTTATTCTTTGGGAGTGAAAACAGTTAGAAGTCTGGCAAAACCCGGGTGATGGCGATTTTAACAGCCCATCGCCTAATGAGCGCCCAACGGCTGATAAACTGTTACTTTCGTACCTGTTATTTTTTGTAAGTAACAACTGTTCCCAGCGTTTCATGGAGCGGCTAAACCAACTTAAAATAGCGAACCATTGATGACTGCGTACTATTATATTCATATCAGTTATTTTTTGTAAGTAACAACTGTTGCGAGCCTGAAAAAACTGTAGAGTGGTTGCTGTCGAATCACTGATATTTTTTTATGTTATTTTTTGGATGTAACAACAGTTGCGACGTGTTATTTTATAAATAACACTCGTAAAATAATATATTATATAATAAAATGTCTCTAAAATTTTGCGCTCAACAAATTTGTAAATTTTCATATCCAGTGGTTAGTTTTCATGGTCTCTAAATAATTAGATTTACTTCCACAAAAAAATATTACTTACTTTGTTTTATTGCGATGAACTGGACTGGTAAAGGTCCACGCGATGCTTGCTGTCGGTTTGCTAAAATTCTTTCCTATATTCAAGTTTTTATACTGCGCAATACCCATGAACATGTTCAATTCTCTGACGTAGAAAACCAGATAGACCAACTTTCCTTTCTGAAAAATAAATTTCCACAATAATTATACAATCTTTTGAATTGAAAACAACTTAAAAGTACAATCCGCCACTTAAACAACACACAAAAAAAAGTATCACAATTTCACCAGAGAACCACCAAAATAAAAATTATTATTAATATTTTTTCCAGTAATCTAACTGACAAAACTGTCACTATTTCTGTCATTTTTTGGATGTTGTCTGTCGAAAACTTCCTTGATTAGTTGAACAGAATACCTATAGTGAGTATATTCTATAAAAAATATACTTACCCCGGCAAGATACAACACTTTTTTCTCAGTCTGTGGCGAAAACACCCACTTGTTGCAACTCTGAGCAATATCTATGTTTCTCTTCTCGTTGGCTCTGATAAAAATGAAAATCGGGTTGTCAATATAATCTTGGAATCTGTCAGATATAGTAGAATGATAAATCCTTAAATTGGCGTTTTCCTTGGCGGTTGGATAGAGTTGCTGGTAAAACTGTTCCTTGTGTTGAGTGGGAACCAAAGAACCAACATTATCATTGAATTGATAATTTTGATTCTGATCTGAAATAAAGTACAATTCAGGTAGAATGTTTCGGCCACATGTACAGGGTGGCGCTTCTCATACGCCGCCGAATCTCCAAGGAGAACAGTAGTTGTATATCGAAATGACATTTTGGCAGCATATGTAGGTTAACTGAAAGCATTTTTTAAAAATATATAGAATTATACAGGGTGTCTCCCAAAAAAGTTACACATCAAAGTTTTGTTTTTTCTAATGGAACACAAAATAAAGGTGAGTTTTATTAAAGAAGCATATACCTAAAATCTAAGGACTTTTACATTTTGTGAAAATGAAGAGTAAATTTTAAATTTCGATAACAGCTACCTAAATTTTAGTTGACCTTGTATAGCCTGATATTTAATTACAGTAACCATTGTATGTTAAACCAAATTGAAATTTGACCCGAAAAATTATACCGGGTGAGACAAAATTAATATGGAAAATTAGTCACTTTTAAAAGCAAGTTACTCCTTTATTTTAAATAGAACACCCAGTATACTTTTCCGGTGCTCAATGGGGAATTTATATATCTTCAAAATATTATTAAGGTTGCCTATCCCTCAGACAATGATTTTCCCAGATATTTTAATTTTTATGATTTTGACAGTAAATCTTTATTATTTGAAAAAATCTAGGTGACTAGGTGCTGTGTCACTATATACCTTTTGTTAATTTAACAAAAATTAAAGATTGTGGAGTAAAATACTCAAGGGTAATAAAAAAATACACGTTTAAAACATATTTTAATTATTACAGAATTAAAACTAGATCTAAACCTATAATTATGCGACAAAAGTTAGCTAGATAAAATCAAATGCTCAAAATGCTTCCTTTCCTGTTAACTGCATTGTCTTTTCGAAAGGATCTTTTCATTTTAAAAGGCATTAGTGGAGTTCTACCTCGAAAAGCAGCTAGAATAATTTATCTCATATTGTCGACACTAGTTGGTCGAGTTTTTTAAACACTGTCTTTAAAATATACCCATAAAAAAACAGACTAGATAAAATCAGGAGCATTTAAGTATTCTATTAATTAGTGAATGCACACTGCATTCACCAACTAATAGGATCAAATCAATTCTCTCTGATGTAGGATAAGTTCAAGGACTGTATATATTCTAAAGGACTGTTCGATCGCGTCAAATCGCCGCTGTCGTAGTCGCCGTGGAATGCTACGTCACGCGCTGACCAGCGCTCCACAGTGCGGCGGATGGTTATTCTAGCGGGACAAAATCTCAAGAGCAATGTTTGGGACTTAAAATCTAAGCACGTAGCAAATGGTCTAATATATAGCAACTATACTTGTATTCATTTAAAACTTCCCAATATGGCGGACTTCAGTATGGGAGGCTTAAAAAACGAAAATCTCTAAACTGGAATCGGCTGTACTTCAAATTGTTCAAATTGATAATCTGTGGTAAATCCAATTGAACTCTGACACTTGACTGGCATTGACGTTTACGGTTCCTTTTTCTAAATATTTTCATTATTTTTTGAGTTTTTATTCACAAATTCTACTTGATTTTGTTTTGTTTTATTTAACCTGCAACCTGCAGTACTAATTATATAGTTATATATAATCTTTTCACCGATCAAGAATTGACGAATAGGCTGGAAGATATTCAAAATGTGTAAAACGCTTAAAAACGTATTAGAAAACATTGACTCGTTCACAAATTCGTGAAAATAAATTAGTCCAGATGTTTATAAAAAGGTCTCTAATTATTATTAAGTTTCCTCGTATCATTAATTTTCAGGTTTGTAATATGTACTATATGATAATAAAGATTAAAACTTATATTTCAGAGAACAGCGCGGGCATTACAGATTGTTGTAAATCGGTTTTAAAGTATAAAGAAGGTTTAAAACAGGCTTAAAAGTTGAGTTAGTAGAGAAGACCTAAATAAGGTAATGTTGGTAATGGGACCAAACATCAAATAACACTTGAAATATATAATTATGTACAATAATTGTAAGTAGTTTTTATGAATCTGTTTGATATCTATTGCATTGTTTTTATATTTCTTGAAATATATATTTTTTACTTTAAGGTATACACAAAGAATAATAAAAAATACAGTTACTCACTAAAAGCACTTAAGATTTGTAATAGATGTAGTTAGAATATCAAACACCAAACCAAACCAAAAATTTTGTTTTATTTTACTGGTATTACTCACATTTGAAGGGAAAGTCATTTCATAAATAAGCAGGACATTGTATAGTACACTCTATATTAATAATTGTTTTTTATCCTATACTTGTTAGTTAACGCATCACTTACTAGGTATAAAATTTAGTACTGATTAACCTATAGTTGTGGATGTGATATATTCTGATTTGTTTCTGGCAATTTAAAATAAGTTAATATTTAAACAAACATTTCTGGCTTTCCTGACAGGAGTGTGGACACAAATTTAATAAAGGTATAATGTGGATAATGTTCTGATTATTACAGTTTGCATGGATGTTTTTGTATCTTGTTATTTTTAATAAAGTATATTTAATGAGATTTTGAGTATTTCTTTTTCCTTCAGAGGATTGTGTTCTAATCTTTATATATTATAAATTTTCATAAATTATATCTACAAAATTTATTACCTTATAATTTTTTGCTAAATACTTTGTAGTTGATACAGTTTAACAGTATATAAAAGAAGTATTTAAATAAGATGTTTGAAAATATATAGCTGTTTTTGCACACCTCAATTCAATTTGTGATTAACTGTACTGAAATAAAAACAAATTAAGAGAAATCAACTATAACATGAATCTATCAACTATAACATGAAACGCATCATCCTATTTCCAAGTCTTCTATTAATTTCACTTATTGAACAACTATAATTATTCAATAATTTTGATAATTCTAGGAACTCTCAGATATCGTTTCACTTCCTATAGTTCTTACGTCCCTTTAACTACGTCCTCACATCCCTTTAACTCAAATATAAGAAACAGGGGAGTTAATATTCTCACTGAGAAAGTTTATAGAATACCTTTAAGTAAAATCTCTTCGGATCTGCGGTAAAATACCTTTATTCTTATTAAATAATTTCAATAATCTATGTTTTTATTTATGACAACCACCTAATAACCTAACTTTAACGTCAACTTGACAATCCTGAAAAATATTATTGTTAACCAAAGAGTAAATCAATTTCTGAATTCGCTAACGCCAACTTATTTTTCATTAAAAAAAAATTACCAATTTTCGTAACTAGGTCGGCCATATTGAGGAACTTTTAAAAGAATAGTACTATATATGGTTAAATTTATTTATTTATTAACAACTTAATTTATTAATAAATAAATACAAGATAATAAAACTATGATATTATTCGTACATGACACACAAAAACCGTATTGTAAACTATAGCCAAATACATAAAATTATGATATCAAAAAACTCTTTAGCAGTTTTTTTTTAATTAATTTGCAATCTTGTGACACCCTCTATAATTTATTTTAAAAAATATATTTTATTTTGAAAATAATAAATAAGATAGATATTTTAATTTTAATTTTAACACTCGGTAATTGTAAATACATATATAGTAAGTATCTAAGACAATTTTTTAAACTCGGTGCCTTTTGATGGAGTTGTTTTGTTTTTATACTATCCGATTGAAATGAATCTTTTTGGGCATTCCCCTGTTAAGATTGAGCTCCCTGTGACTGTGACTACCTGTGTTGGTAACTATTGGTAACTCAAAAGATCTATATCATTCAATATATCGATATTTGAAAAAAAAGTGAAAGTTTGATATCTGCAGAATAAAGGTACGAAGGATTTTAACAAACAATATACGTACAGTAGAAAAGTACATACCTTTGGCAATCTTCAACATAATTTGGCTTTCTAATAAAATGTATAAGCACTTGTGAATATTTTGTTTTCGTATGATCTCTGCGTTGCTGAGCAGAAAACGACCAAATTTGGTTGATAAAAATGTATCGAAATACAAAGAATATTTATGCATTTTTGTATCAATTGGAATGTCTACTATTTATTCTTATCAGTACACATGTTTTGGCTTATTTCTAACCAACCGCTTTTGTCCCGCTAAATTTATCTTCCAACGCACTGTACGCTTATCCGTCAAATGCAAAAATAACTGTCACTGTCTAAAATCTTTAGCGCCAACTTCAACTCGGTCAGCAGATGACGTAAAAAACTGACAGTGCAGGAAGATAGGAATCGAACTATCCTTATCTCTATAGTATCCTTGGGATAAGTTTGCATTTTTGGCAAATTCCTGAGAAATTTTTTTGTTTTAACTGACAAAAAATGATAACTAGTTGTTAAAATTGGACTAATTAGACAGCTATGTTGAAGTAACGTCAGACATATCATAGCCACCCAGATTTTATCAAATAATAAAGATCTACTCAGATCAAATCATGTAAATGAAAATATCTAGGAAAATCTTTGTTGAGGGGTAAGCAACCTTAATAGTATTTTGAAGAGACATGAATGAATCCATTAAATATCGAAATAATATAGTCGGTGTTCCATTTAAAATAAGAGAGTAACTTGCTTTTAAATGTGACCAATATTCAATATTTTGTCTCACCCTGTATAACTTTTGGATCAAGTTCTAATTCGATTTAAAGTACAATAGTTAATTTAACTACATATTAGGCTCTACCGGGTAAATTCCAATTTAGGTAGCTTTTATTATAATTTAAAAATTGTTTATTTCTAGAAAATGTTAAATATTATGTCAACCTTACATTTTGGTCATATACTTCTCTTATAAAACTCACCTTTATTTTTCTCCCAGAATCCGAAAATCAATTAATATATAGGGTGTTCCATTACAAAAAACACAACTTTGATATGTAATTTTTTTGGGGACACCCTGTAGAACTCTCTATATTTTTAAAAAGTGCTCTGAATTAACCTACATATGCTTACAAAATTTCATTTCAATACAAACTGTCATGTCGTTCTCCTTGGAGCCTCCGCGGCGTATGAGGGGCGCCACCCTGTACAATTCGGACCACCCTGGGTGGTCCGAATTGGATTCGGGAAACTTCAGCAGCATATTCTGCAGATAAAAATAAGTAAAAAAGTTCGTAAAAATGTATGTTCTAAAATGCTTCGTTTCGGAGCTACAGGGTGTAAAATTTTTATTTTTATTACGATTTTTTCAAAATAATTTCTGACCTAACGTCGATATTTGGTGACTGGGAGATCGATATTGGGGGGTCGATATTAAAATTGGTGACTGGGAGATTTTTGACATGAAAACGACATTTGGTTTCATTGTCAATACGACTCCTACTTGTAGAGGGCGCCACCTACATATTTTTTAACCGGTGTGAAGAGTATTAACTTTTCGTTCGTACCTGTATAAAGCTAATGAGTGAAAAAATATACATTTTCGCCATTTTTCACGTAAAAAAGATCTCTTGGTAAAAATCGCTACGAGTAATGGTTCTCGAGATATTTGGAATCAAAAAAATCAATACATGTCATCACTAACAAAAATTGAACATGTTGACTAAATAGTTATTAGACTAAACAAAAATTTGAAATGTTTGGGCCAAAAGTTCAAAACAAATTGCTTCATGATAATTTTTATAGAAAAAATTATGATTAAATAAAAAAATAAAAAGTTCCTACGCAGATTTTTCATTTCAGTCAAATAATACTATCTAGTAAATAAGTATATTTTTTTGTCAAAATTTACATTCTAAATACCTTGAGAAAGGTTGGTCTTAGGGATTTTTAAAAATTACCTAATAAGGGACGAACTGCCATTTCCAAATGTTCTTGTGTGAGGCTGGCTGTTGTCGAAAAATCGCAGCATTCCATGGGAAGGGGATAATGCTTTACAATCATACGCGGCTGGGAATATCCATTGTAGATATCTTTAAATGTGAAAGAAATTAAAACAAAATATAGTTGAAATCAAATAAACAGCAAAACCTTGAGAACATTTTGAATATTATGAATTTAAAGCCTGCACAACGAGAGTCATTGTCTGACTTTTTAATTCACATATATAAAGTGTATATTGCATTTCTTAAATGTCGTCTGTCTAAATCTTCCTCGACTCGTTGGACAGACTTTATATGGTACAATAAAGGTAGGTAACTCTTTTCTTCAGTAGACAGATAAGAAATATCATATATGTTGTAGCCAATTTAACTTCCAAGCTTAGATAACAATAACTTAAATCCAAAATTATACAATAGTTTTCTTTTACTTTACTTCATTATTACTGCCAGCATTAACAATATATAACTTGCAATCGATAGACAGCTAAATAATAGTGTAGTCTATCCAACGAGGGATTCCTCGACATTGACGGTTGTTTTATCATTTTTTATTCTCAGGTAAATAATTGTACTTTCTGTTATATTTTGGATGTCGTCTGTCAAAATTTCCCTGACTTGTTGGACAGACTTTACAACACCAACATACATCTTATTCTCTATAGGGTTTCCGTAGGTTTTAGGAAAACGAGGAACAGCAAAATTGCTCCGAAATACACGGAAAAAATAAATTGTAATAAACCCCACAATGAGGAAAAAGCATGTTTTTAAATAATGGTTTTAAAAAATAGTTCATATAATTACAAATTGAGCAAAAAAAATCGTTGATATCGGTTAAGAAATGCCTCTAATATAAAATAATTAAATATTGTTAATTTAAATGGCCGGGCAAACGCTCTCTATCGCGCCTTGCCGCTGTGACGTCACCCGCCGTTCTTCTGGTTGAGTGGAGCCAGACGCGTGTTTATACAGTTTGCTTTTAAACGCTGTTGAATCCGAGACAAAATTTTAGTTATTTGTGTCAATTAATACATAATTAGTAATTAGTGATATTTATAAATAGTAATGGATGAGCGAAAACAGAAAAAAATGGTCCAAGTTTTTACGATTTATTGTTGTGAAGATCATTTCATGTAAGTTCATATATTTATGTATATTGTCTTACATAGGTATATGAAATTTGAATGTACAGGGTTATTCATTATATTTTGACACCCACATACAGCCTTAACTGCAAGTTTTAGAAGAAAACATTAAATAAAAAAGTTGCATGGTTTTTCATATACTCTCTTTTAAAATTAATTCTAGTTATACAGGGTGTCTCAAAAAAAGGTGGTGCAGAAAATTGTAGGTATTTTTCGCTTTTCAACTGTCAATATTTCGTAAACATTTGAAGATAGGTATAGGATATTATACATGAAATATATCTAGAATATCTAGAAATTTCCGAAGAATCCAAGAATATATAGGGTGTTTCGCTTAAAAAAGTAACTTAATTTTGGCATTTGCTTAGGGGACACCTTGTATAATATTTTCATTACTGATAAACAATTTATTTCCTATAATTTCGTAAAAAAACAATCTTTAAAAATAACATGGGTAAGGGGGTGTCAATATATAAAAAAAACTTTCTTTTTCACGCTGTGCTCTGGAGTTATTTTTCCACGTACTAAACAAATATTTTTGTCTCTTTTCACTTCTACATAACCTACAGCATTATCTCCATACGTCTCCCTACCTGATCTGAAAAATAAGTTTATAACATTAATTTATAACTATATAAAAGTTCGTAACAGTAGGTACCTACTTATACTTAAATATGCCTCAGTACTACAAATAATAAATAGAGAACAACGGCATACCGTCGAGTCGGCCTAAAAACACGTAAACGTTTACGTACGCATGCGCATTTCTGATATTTCTTATTTTTTATACACGTAAAAGATTCTTTACGTCTACGTATACGTGTCAGCAGCGGCCGATTCGACCGTATGCCGTTGTTCTCTAATGTTACATACCTCTCTGTTTTTTTCCTCTTAATTCAGCACCAATAAATTGGAAATTTGTATTTATAAAAGCAGCCAACATGAAAGCATCGACTTTTGGCAAGTTATCTGATTGTGCTTTTACAAACACGGAATCTGCCATTACTTAAAAAAATTTCATAACACACAACACATACAAATAATAACTGCACAAAAAAGCATAAAAAGCTCCTTCAATCAACGCTAAGAGCAACAAAAATGTTTTAGTACGCCACCTAAATACGTACATAAACGGAACACGTCTGGCTGCTGCTGGCCATCGCGCGTCGACGAGAACGGCGGGTGACGTCAGACCAGTAGAATATCGTTTCAATTCGCGCGGCGTCGTTTGCGTTATCCATAGTATTTTAATGGCCCTTTTTATAAAATTGTGGTACTGCTTTCAAGAAAAAAGTTTTTATTTGCATTTACACATATTTATTCTAATAAATTGAACAGTTTCTGGCGAAAAATAAAATATATGCATCTTCCTCATTGTAGAAAACACTGCTGCGTTTTGCGTCTGAAATAGTGCTAGGCATCACGTTGTAGCTTTTATTTATATCACAAGATCTCCAAAATAGTTAAATATGCTTGATTATATACGAAAATAGCGAACAAGTATGATGGTAATTCTCACAAAAATTGAAATTGAAAATTGTTGAAATTTAAATGACAATTATTATTACAAATTGTAGCACTACTAACTATATTTTTTGACACAATTTTCTGTTACTAGGCACTATTGTAAACTGAGTTGGAGAATAGTAGCTTAGCTAATTACAATAATTGTGTCATATGTTTACAAAAATCTAAGTAAAATTTGTGGTTCAATGTTGTAGTTTTTTTTTCAGTGTAGAAATAAAAGAGAAAAAAAATGAGGGTAATATTCTCAGGTTATCTCCAATTTTTTTTTTGAATTAACAATATTTACATTTGCATTGCCTTACGGGTAGTTTCCTATTTTCAAACACTAACAACAAATTAATGTAGGGAAAAATTGACTAAAACGTAAGACAAATTTTTTCCACCCGGGTCCTTCTGGCCCCAGTCCGACCCTGTTAAAACTTAACATTCAACTAAATACTGTTTAGTAAAGTACTTGGTTCTTTTAAAAGGTATTCATTTGAAAACTTGAATATAAAACTTAAAATTGGGGATTGCAATATGGCTGGACGCACAAAGAAAGAGCAAATATGTTTTAGTCAAAAACGTTTGTCTTTTACAAAAACATTATGTTTCAAAGAGAATAAAACTGTTTTATTTAGAATCAAATATGCACGGCATTAACGAGCCTAAACCTGCCTTAACGCTTACTACTCACGACTAACCGGTGTGCCTTAGGGTACGTTTATGTTGGAGCTGCGATAAGGGTGCGTTTATGTTGGAGCTGCAATAAGGGTGCGTTTATGTTGGAGCGGCGATAAACGATAAGCAGCGATAGTAGCGAAGCAAAGAATATTATATTAATTTATATGTAGGTGTTTATATTGGAGCAACGTGTCGAGACACGGTTGGCAGTTGAGCAACGATAAGGAGCTGCGCTAATTCACTGCTTTTATCGTTTATCGCAGCTCCAACATAAACGTACCCTAAGGGTGCGTTTATGTTCGAGCGGCGATAAACGATAACAGCAGCGATAGTAGCGAAACAAAGAATATTATGATATTAATTTATATGTAGGTGTTTATATTGGAGCAACGCGTAGAGACACGCTTGGCAGTTGAGCAACGATAAGAGCAGCGCTAATTCACTGCTTTTATCGTTTATCGCAGCTCCAACATAAATGTACCCTAAACGATAAAAGCAGTGAATTAGCGCTGCTCTTATCGTTGCTCAACTGCCAACCGTGTCTCGACGCGTTGCTCGAATATAAACACCTACATATAAATTAATATAATAATATTCTTTGCTTCGCTACTATCGCTGCTCTTATCGTTTATCGCCGCTCCAACATAAACGCACCCTTAGCCCATTTAATTTGCATTGAAGCATCACACGAAAAAACATTTAGCCAAAAACGTTTTTGACGAAAACTCATTCTGTGTGCGTCCAGGCTGAGAATCACATCAGAGACTGCAAAATCAGATCACACTGTATAGCCTATTCGAGTTAATCCTCATTCCAGAAAAAGGCTATCAAATTGAAAAAGTTCCGCGCTATCCAGGCTCGGTTTTTGCATGGTGATATCTCTAAAAAAAACTCCTTCTTGGGCAAACTAAAAACCTTAACACCTTAAACAATGTTTTTATTTTTTATCGACTTTTTATTTTTAATCGAAAAGCATATAATAAACTTTATGGGAGTATTACTATTACTACTATGATTACATACTATCTGCATATTTTATCACTTTTTTAAAATTAGTGGAAGAGCTTGAAACAGTAGTCTACCTCCATTATTAAGAAAATTTGTAGTAAAACTTACGCAACGACTTACTTTGGGTATCCTGAAATGTATAGAAAGTTTTTGCCTCCTGCATTTTTTAGCAAAAAACAAAATAATGAATTATATGAGAGCTGCTATGAAAAAAACATTATTTGCATATTTGTCTCGCTTTTTTAAAACGAGCGGAAAGAGTAGAAATAAACTACATCTATTCTTGTTAACCGAACTTAAAGAACTTTCACAACGATTGAGGAAAATATAAATTTGAATAGGCTCTGGTATATTTTGATGGTTTTTATTACCTCCTGTATTTTTTTCATGAAACCTCATTACCTCTTCTTCACTACCTTTTATTACCTCTCAGAACAAATTTATTTTAGAAAAGAAGTCTAGATGACTGCTTTCAACCAGTTTTATTTTCTAATAATGATAAATTTTATTATGAACAACATATTTTAAAAAGAATTTATTAACAAACATTATGAATTAATGAACTATGTAGGAAATCGTTCATTAAATTAATCATTAAAATATTTCAGGGAACAAATATTGTATTAAATTCCCCAATGCTATAAAAATATATTAAAAAATAGTGTTCATAGTAGGTATATGTGATTTTAAACATGGCATATAATTTTCACGCTAAACAACTTCTTAAAGTAGTAATTTTATGTTTTTAAATCTGCCTCGTACACCAAATGAACTACTTTAACATTGACTAGTTAATTTAGAATTTTATAGGGTACAGACTTATCAAGAATAAAAAGAGAAATCTAAAATATTTTTTATGTTTCCAAAATTGTTGGTCAATGGCATTCTAATTCACAGAAAAGTTGTATTTTTTGTCATTTTTTAAATGTCAAAATTTTCTCTGGGTCGTTGGACACACTTTAGACAGTTAAGATTTTCGTCTTCAGTTCTCTATTTCTATGCTTTGTTTTTTTTATTCTTGATTAACTTGGCTTTATAAGCTATTTAGACGATTAAAAAGAGAAAAAACAATTTTATTGTAAACATTTTAGTAAAATAATTGAAACAGAACATAAGTAATTCATAGAAAGCCTTTGTAGATGTTTTTATGTTACATTTTCATTGCATTTGAGATTTTTAAATTGTAAAACAATGGGAAGTACGGGAAACATGCAGAAAATTTCTATTTTGCAATAAAAATCAATAATTTAAAGTATGTTCATGGTACATTAAATTAATATACACAGGAAAAATAAAGTTAAGAAATAAAACGCAAATATATAAAACATCGATTTATTTGCCCATTTCTAATATTAAGAATTCTATATACCAATTTTTGTTTGATGCAGGAAAAATCAGGTATTACAATAAATAAATAAACAATTTTTCTTTCTTTAGTGAACTTTGTTTTATTTACAAATATGAAAACAATGACCACATTTTATTATATTGACAATGAGACGGGATCAAACCTAACCATTATATTTGACAGTCAAACAATATCCTAATGCTGGCGGCAATATAATTACTAAGTTAATATATAAAATAATGTCATACTGATAAAAAAAGTAGAGAGGCTCTATTCTAACTCATTTTGACAGTTAAAAATGAAAACCATAATTCCAATATTCATTTTGACTAGTTTTTTTCATCACTGCAGAACACGCCAACAGAAAGCCTAATAATTAGCTTATAAAACAATATTTGGAACCACAATTTCACTTATTATTCGCAAATTTGGAAGTATAATTCATGGAAAAAAGTTAAAAGTTTATTAACTTTTTCTACTAATAGAAAATTACTACCGCTAATTTTGACTTTCTGAATGCTTCTATTGAAATTACAGGAACAAACTTCTACGCTAATTGAAACCACTAATTTCGAGATTTTGGATGAAACTGAGAAAAAAAAATATAAAATAAAAAGAACAGCAAATATATAAGAAATAACAACAAATTGAAAAAAAAATACGTAAGTAACAATTAATAAATGAATAAATAAAAAAAGATGCTATCACATAGTACTCAGTCTCAAAGAAATAGTTACAGGGTGTTATTAGAAAAAGCTATACACATCTTACCCCAGTTATTAAAAAATCTATTTTCAGAATGAGTTATAATAAGCCCTCTAAATGATTGCAACAATAAGAATAATTTCACTTATACCTTCCTTCTTTGTTAATATGTTTTATCTGTCATACTTAATTTTTAACCTTATGTTCTAATAAATGTTTTTATTTCTTTCTTCTCGAAACTCTATACCTACCGTTATTTTTATGGACCGGCACTGATCCTCTGTTGTCATAACAACCGACGGAAGATCCCGCTTCGTCGTCATAAACCTGAAGACCTCTGAGGAGAGCAGTGGCGGCGGACGGAGATCCTTCCTCTAATTATCCAACAAAAAAATGCAAATTTATATTAATTAAAAATATGTTTTGTTTTTGATTTTGAAATGTTAAACGAAAATTTTGTAATTTCCAGACTTGATATAATCTCATTTTATACATCTATAAATGCTAATTTGCGATATTTTAAGAGAAATAAACTGATATGTGGTAAATATTACATATTAAATTAATATATGATTAAAGTTGTGTGTGAATATACAGGGTGGCGCACCTCATTCGCCTCGGTTGATTATACGAAAACGAAAAGATGTAGAAACAAATTGTTTATGGGTAAATGTAGAGACGCAATGTGCATAATTTAAAAGTATAGTAAATGTACAGGTTATGTCAGAACTAAGATCCATACCAAAGTTATATTTTTTCTTATGGAACATCCGGTATTTTATTTCATTTTTGGATTCTTGGGCATAAAATAAAGCATTTATTATAAGGGTTTAATATGTTTAAATGCTTTGGTTTTTGTGATATTAATGTCGATTTTGAAAATAGCTACTAAGTATCTCTAGAAAATTGCCACGGCGACACCAGCTTGATTACAATTTCATTGAAAAATCGCTTTTTATTCAACATCTGAGTCAGATGGGTATAGGAAACCCTAATATAGTTTGAAAGAGCATTTAAATCTCCTTCGATTTATTTAAAAAAAAATACATAGTCTTGCATTTGAAATAACAAAGTTTTTATGTAAAAAAAATATTGAAAATAAGCTAGTAATTTTTGATACCCCTGTATACATTAACGAAAGCAATCATCTTTTTTAGTAAAGTTTATTTCTCTGGCTTAAATGTCAGCACAAAAATTAATTCTTAAAAGTAATGTACAGGGTGGGTCAAATTCGACGCTTTTAAATGGAAACATCCTTTTCTATAGGAGATAGACAAAAACTAATATCGGTGTCTGGGGCTCAATTTTTGTCAAAAACATGATGGTGAAAACCACATATCGATATCTGTTACCGTTTCGGAGTTACGGGGTGTTTTTCAAAAATGTGCATTTTTAACAAATTGCTGTAACTTTTTTGCTATAGAAAATTTTGTATTTTTATGAAAACATTTCCAAAGCACCTTTTTACGTAGAATTTAATGGTTTAAGTATAATTTTTTTTAAATTAATAATTTAAGAATTATCAACAGAAAATTTGATTTTTTATATGGGACACCCTGTATATTTTTAATTTATTGAAAAGAATTTCAAATTACCTTTCCAAAAATATAACACACTTGATATTTTGCTCGATTCTTTTTCGAGATATAGAGTATATAAAAATTCGCCCGCTTTAAATAAGGGCTTTGAAGGCTAAGTAGGCTTTGAACGACACCGGCTGTAATGCAAAAAAATTCTAGCTGTGAGCATCAATTAAAACGAAAATAATATTTGCTATGAGAGATGCAGAAGTTTATAACAAATTAAATATATATTTAACCAACATCAACACATTTAAACTATATCTAATAACAATAAAAATAAACCAAGACATGAGATTTTGCTACAGGTGTTTGCTACGACATATCGACCGTCTTCTGTTATGGACAGACGGGGCAGTTTTTGAAGATTTCTTGCGGAATTCATTAACTCAGTGGGGGTGAAAGATACCCTTTCATAACTGCTAAGTATTTCTAATTCTTGTCTAGATTATACGGAAGAATAAGGATCCTTTATTCTTCCGCAAATATATCCATAGGATTAGATCCATGGGCACCAAGTCAGGCGGCCTCGACGGCCAACGGCTGGGATCTTGGTTAGCTATTAAATTATTCTTGAACTTGGCTGCAAAAATTTGCTGATAACTTCAGCGTTCAGAGGCGATGCGTGGTCTTACTGGAAAAATATGTTTTCGAGTTCCATTAGGAGCAGATCATCAATAAGGGATCCAAAGCCTACTAGTTAAAAGTGACAAACTTTTAAAAATTCTATATTTCGAAGGGGATTATAACAAAATATCAAGTGTGCTATATTGTTGGAAAGGTAATTTTAAATTCTTTTCAGTTAATTAAAAATATAGAGGGTGTTCCAAATAAAAAATCAATTTTTCTGTTAATAACTCTTAAATTATTCATTTTAAAAAAATTATACTTAAACCATTAAATTCTACGTAAAAGGTGCTTTGGAAATGTTTTCATAGAAATACAAAATTTTCCATAGAAAAAAAGTTACAGCGATTTGTTAAAAATGTACATTTTTGAAAAACACCCCGTAACTCCAAAACGGTAACAGATATTAATGTGCGGTTTTCACCATCATGTTTTTGATGCAAATTGAGCTCCAGACACCGATATTAGTTTTCGTCTATCTCCTATAGAAAAGGGTGTTTCCATTTAAAAGCGTCGAATTTGACCCACCCTGTACAGGCTGTTGACAAACTTTTTTATTATAGCATGCATATTTAAATATCTTTAAATATCTCAAAAACCAAAGCTTTTAAACATATTAAACCCTTATCTTATGTCCAAGAATCCAAAAATGAATTAAAATACCGGGTGTTCCATAAGAAAAAATATAACTTTGGTATGGATCTTAGTTATAAAACACCCTGTATATTTCAAAATAATTTTAAATTGTGCACATATACCCATAAAATATTTTGTTTCTACGTCTTTTCGTTTACGTATAATCAACGGAGGCGAATGAGGTGCGTCACCCTGTAAACATACCATGATCCAAAGCAATGTTTTGAAAGTTCTGCATTACATGGTAATTATTTGTATTGCCAGAGTAATCAAAATTCAAGTTTCTCGCAGCGTTTGATGCTTGAGGTGTATATTTCATGTTCGGAGGTATAAATCTTTTAGGCGTTCGGCCTTGTTTGTGGTACTCCATCCAATCTACAACAGAAAACAAACAAAAATATGAATAAACATTAAAAAAAATATAAAAAATCTCTTCTCAAAATAGTTTAGTGTTTTAATACCGTTCCTGTTTCTCCCTATATTATTCGTTTGAGGGTTTTCATAGTTATTGTATTGTTTCTTTTTGTATTCGTTGGCTCGCAAGACTTTGTGTAAAAATTTAGGTTTTGCGCCAATGTTTTCAGGAACGACTAGATCTGAGTGTTTTTCCTCCAAATCCATGATTTTTGTAAGCGTTTCTGTTACAACCTAACAAAATAAAAATGTTTAAAAAATATTTAGACTAAAGCTTTATATTTTCATACATCCACTGTCCGACGATACGATGATACGATATTAATTTTATTGGTTGATTTTAAAGACTTCGATTGGTCAGAAAATTACGCAGTTTTTTAATTTATTGCATTTTCATGCCATTGGTGTCATTTTATGTTTTCAATTCCATAACGATTTCGCTGTTTTACTTATAGTCTAAGAGCTAGCAAGGTTTTTGAGAGATAATTTTAAGAAAGCTGGTTCTTTAATAATATCTTTTGCTATTCTTTCCTGAACAGAGTGCGGACTGTCTGGCTGCCGGTAGACGTTGCGTTCACTACTGCGCATCATATCTGTATTCAACATCTGTTCACTACTACTGCGCATCAGAAATTCGCCCTGTATTTCAGGAACTAAGGAGGCTAGGACAAACCTATATGTAGCATATTGTTTCATAAAAAATTGGTCAAGTGCGTGTCGGACTCGCGCACGAAGGGTTCCGTACCGTTGATTATCTATACAACATTAGACACTATATTATTATAAACTTTTTTTCCGATTTGACGGAAATTTTGAATGCGCGTATAAGTAATTTAAAAAAAAGAAGAAATGCATTACTAAAAATGTTATTAATCAATAATAAATATGAAAAAAGTAACAATAAATATGTAAAAATTAAAAAAAACGATTAAAAAAAGTCGCCTTGACTAGGATTCGAACCTGGCTTACTACGGCTCCAACGTCATAGCAGCGTAAAGTCCTAACGCTTTAACCACACGGCCACCGAGGACTTGAAAGATTCTATGTAAAATTCCTACTTAAAATATAATGTTTAGTGAAAGTACTTTTTTATTTATAAACATTTATTTAATTCTGTTTTTAGTAATTGTTCTTATAGCGGCAACATAGATACATTATCTGTAAAAATGTCAACTGTCTTGGGTACGGAACCCTAAAAAGTAGCAAAGTAATGTGAAAATCGCATAATTGTATCTCTACTCATAAACGAGAAATCCTACAAAACACACGAAAATGGGATACCTTGTACAGATGTGATGCGCAGTAGTCTACTGGCAGCCAGACGGCCCGCACTTTGGTCAGGAGAGTATAGCAAAAAATATATTAAAGAACCAGCTTTTTTAAAATTCTCGTTTTCCCGACTCGGTGCTAGCTCTTGTACTACTATATTTTTAAGGTTAGATTAAACTTGTCAAAATAGTGTCAAAATGTTCGTTATCGTATGATCTTTCTCCGTTGACGGGCTGGAGTAAAAAATTTACGGATGAAAAGTGGCGCGAAAACGCTATGACCAATCAGAGCGCCGCGCCGTCGGACCATCGTATCAACGGATAACGGACGCATGAAAATCAAGCTTAAGACTCCATATAGCAAAGGATTACCAAAAAATATGTTATCTTAGATCTTATAAACTTCGTTATTATAACTACTTACCTTATTAAGATGATCAAAAGAATGCCAGGGATTGATCATAGAGCGGTTCACCAAGTCGTGTATGGCGAAACGGAATTTTAAGATGACAGGGTCGCCAAAATAGAATTCCAGCCAGTTGTCAACGTTGATGGAGTGCGATGAGGTGCATAAAGCGTTCACTCCGCACATCAAAGCCACCTAAAAATAGCAAAACGTCATGTGTCATTAATAGTGTTGTAATAGAGAGAATATTCTGATTTGTGAAGAAGGAATGTTCCCTTATAAGAGCATCTATGAGCACAAACGAGCGTGTATGAGTACAAACGAGAACGTTTCCTACAAACATTTATTACATTTTTTAAAGTGATTCTTTACTCATTTTTCTCGAGAATAATATGAAAAAAAAACGAGAAAATTCAAAATAAAAAAGTTACTGATTGACATTTCAACAGGGTTGGGTAGCGACGCGTAGAAAATTAATTTTCTACGTGTATGTAGAAAATGTAGAATAAGGAGAATATTAAGTAGAAAATGTGTAAAATCTGAGAACAGGTACAAAATTAATTTTGTATATTTAAAGCAAAAAAAGTTTTTTTTTACTTTAGAGGTTTCTTCCTTTCTATTTTCTTTAAATTTTATAAGTGTTGTGCACGCTATAATATATGCACGCGCGCTATCTCTCTATTCTGTGACGGTACTAACTCCCTGAAGAGACGGTAATTGATCTGAAAACTATTAGAATATTTTTTTCTGTTTAATCTGAAGACTGTACAGAAAAGTCTGATTTTCTTTTCTTTGAAAGTTTTCGTTGTTCCTCTTTTTAATTTTACCATAGAAAGCCTGTGTGGTTTCATAAACTATATACATATAATAATAATTATTGCAGTTTGTAGTTCTTACTTTCATTATGTTAGATGTTATTTTTTTGTTGTTCTTACCAAAGTTCACAGAATTACATAGAATTATTCTGTAAACTTTGATCTTACTATTGAAAACTTTTAAAATATCTGTAAACTTCGACTATAGTGTGTAACAATTATTAATTGTACTATATATTATTGTACTAATCTATATTAATTGTACTAATCTTTATGATTGAAGTATTTGAAATAAGTATAAACTCAAAAAAGGCTTACAATATACAAAACTAATTTTCTACATCTGTACATTTTGTATATGTCTATGTAGAGTATTTCTTTCTGTATAACATGTAAAAAATGTAGAAAATTAGTTAGTGTAGAAATTTAATTTTCTACGTGTAGAAAATACGGTAGAAAATATACATTTTTCTACCTACCCAACCCTGTTTTTCAACCTATTTTCTTTGAGCTAATTATAATTATTTATCAACATTTGCTCGTTTATTTTGGGGAACATTCTCCAAAAATAAAATCTCAAGAATTTTACAACACTGGTCCTTAAACTAGATAGCCCGATAAATATACAGAAGAATTACTGAGATTAAGTTTACTCACAGGCAATTCTGTAAACAGTGTGACTCCTCTGACCATAAAATTTGCCTTATTTTTCACCATCTCATCATAAAAGCACCAATATTGGTACTTTTTGGCACTGCAGGCACTAGTGTTGTGTACCGCCACTTTTTTCTCGCTTCTAAAAAATTAGTTTATTTCAAAATTTGTAATTTCATATGTTAAATTATTATGCATTATTAATAATGAATATAGAGGTTGTGCAAATTATTCATTTACACCCGTAGATTTTTCTCAAAAAATGTTATCAAAATAGAAATATTATTTGTTAGTAAATTTTTATAAAAATTTCAACAAACTTTGTACTCAAAACCAGTCCCTTTTTGGTGGGAAACGCGACATTGGGGAACAGTGCCGCACCCATTATAGCCTTGACTAGACCCCAGGAATTATTATTTATGTTATATTCATCCAAAGAATGGGCGTTATTAACAAAGCCAACAGCACGAAGTTGTCCTATAAAAAATTTTGAATAAAAAAATATACAGTCCTGGTCATCCATGACCATAATAAATAAAGAAACAACATATTTTTTTCTTACCTAGAAGTTGTCTTCTAGTTTCCAAAACTGAGAACATTGTAGACTCAGATATAAAATATTCATGACAAAACTTTTTTGCATTGCCGTTAGCTGTTTCGTTCTAAAAAATATTATCAAAATATAAATTTTAATATTTTTAAAAAAAATCATAAAAAAAGGAGAAAATTTTAAGTTTCCGTTATAAAAGAACGGCTTAAGTATATGTGATATTATGCATGAAATATATTTAAAAAATATGTTACCTGCCAACGCTCAAAAACTTTTAAATATACAATGTGATCACTCATAACACTTCCAATCAATTCGCGTCTTTTAGCAGCCGCAGCTACCTTCAAATTTGCTTGTGGTGGCAGTTGAAACGGATCTCTAAAGGAGAAAAAATAATAACATAGTATTAATAATAAATTGGTATAAATTATTTCTAATTTAGAAGAAGAAATTTAGCTTTCAAGCCGCATCAGCATTAAAGGCTGTTTAGCGGCGTATCACCTGCTATTTTAATTCGGTTCAATATTTGACATTTTACTAAACAACACGTTTATAGACAGATTGTATATGTTAACAGTACAGATATCGATTTTGTAAAAATAAAAAGTAAATGGTACAGACAAAATAGAATAAAACAATAAAACGTAAAAATATGTACAATTGAATTAGTAATTGGTTGCTTTAAACCAAAATGTAGCTTTTTAGATACCTGTATTTTAGATATATAATAATAATAATAATAATAATAGACTTTATTTGTACAACTGTGCCATATACAATAATAGAAGAAAGAGAAAAAAAGTAGTGTACAAAAGGGCGAGGTTCAGTTGAGCAGATTAGATATCTGCCCTCTGTTCAACTAACCCACAGAGAAGAAAATATTTGTTAACAATAATAAAAATTAATGAAACTAAATCTTAAGTAAATCTACAAATATGTAACCTTAAAATTGCATAAACAGTATAAAAATAAATTTATTTACGGCATGAAATATAATAAAATTTATATAGAAGAGAAATATATTAACAAAAATACAAAATAATACAAGCAAATTTAACATTGAACATGTTCATTATAATTATAATCCATTTATTTATGCTGTCGCACCATGTGCTGAAGAACAATTCTCTTAAATGTAGCACTAGACATCCTGTTAATATTTTCGGAGAAGTCGTTTAAATATTTTGCGATTAAATATGAAAAACATCGTTCATACAAAGTAGTATTGTGACTAGGAATTGTTAGCTTTCCCTTAAATCTAATGTTAATATTAGGAATGTCTGTGCGAAACCGAATTTTCTCGTAAAGATATGGTGGTGACTTGTTTATTAAAATTTTATGGAACAGACAAAGCAGATGAAGGTGGCGCCGCTCGTTCATCAATAACCATCCTGAATGCTTATATGCTTGACTAATTGGGTCATATTTCCGGATCCCAAAAATTAGACGTATACAAGAATTCTGCAATTTTTGAATGCTATAAGCAATTCGCTTTGTAATGCAAGGTCCATAGAGAACATCGCAAAAATTTAAATGTGACAATACCAGAGCCTCGCATAACATTGTTTTTATATTTCTGTTTAATACATGACGATGTTGAAAGAGAAGTTTCAAATTTAAATAAGCTTTCTGAAGGCATGCATTTATATGCTCTTGAAATCTGAGATTTTGATCCATTATAACTCCTAAATTTTTTGCGCTCGTTTTTATCAGTAAAGGTGAATTATTTATTTCAATTGAGTTCGAAAAGGAATCCAAAAACTTTTGTCTGTCACCACCCTTACCAAAAACTAATACTACAGACTTCTTAGGGTTTAAAAAAAGACCATGATTTTTTGCCGTGAGAGAAAATTGATTCAAATCATAATTTAATGCCGAGATAGCTTGAATACTTTCTTCAGGAGAAAATGACAAATAAATTTGTGTATCGTCAGCGTAAAGGTGATATTTGCTAGAAGACAGTAATGTATTCGGAAAATGAGAAGTATAAATACTAAATAACAGACGGCCCAAAATCGAGCCTTGTGGGACACCGCTAGTGACTGCTTTGAAGGCAGACTGTTCACCGCCATAAGTTACTGCTTGACTTCTGTCTTTTAAAAACTCCTTGAGTAAGTGAACAGCCTGTTCTGAAAGTCCAACACTCTGCAAAATTGAAACAAGGATTTTATGGCTAAGAGTGTCAAAGGCCTTACTAAAGTCCAACAAAACTAATACTGTTAATTTGCCCTCATCCCATGCCTCTAATATCTCATCCGTAATGCTGAGCAATGCCGTATTGCAGCCATGATCCTTTTTAAAACCCGATTGTTTTGCTGGAACTACACACTTTTGCGTCGAGTATGCAGTTAACTGGTTATGTAATATTGTTTCTAATATCTTCGAAAAAGTGGGCAATACACTTATTGGTCGTAATTGATTTAAAGAGGCGACTAATGGAACTTTTGGCAGAGGAACTACCAACGATCTCTTCCACATACTAGGAAATATAGAATTATGTATACAAAAATTTATCATATTAGTAATATAAGGTAAAAGAAAAGGTATACATAAATTTATCGAAAGTATATTTAGTCCATCAATGCCTACTGCGGTTGTTTTTATGTTAGATATTATTTTTAAAACCTCAATCTCATCTACTGCATGAAATTTAAAGTCGTGGTTCACAAAATTGTTTTGTTCATAAAACAAAACAATATCATTGTCTACATGTAATTTAGGTATGGATTCCACAAAATGATTATTTATTCATTAATATGCTCAACATTTCCTATTTCTGCTGGTATGGAATTATCATTCCTAGACTTCAAATCGATAAGTTTTAAATGGGACCATAATTCTTTAGAATTTCCATTATTATATTTATTTGTGAAGTAACACTTCTTTTCCTTTTTAACAGCTACGGTAAACATATTTCTAAAAAGTTTGTAATATCCCGATCTGTCCAGAAAATCAAAAAGTTTTGGTTACTCACTTGTAGAAAAAATAACTGACATGTCTGACGAAAGATTGCAGGCCTCTCTTAGGTTAATTAACTGACTACATTCCTTAAGGATATGTTTGAAAGTTAAAGGTATTCCTAATTTAATGTAAGATTCTTCAGTAAAAAAAGAACAACTTACTTGTGCGCCATTGCTGCAGCCATAGTTAACATTGGCTCTAAACATTTAAAAATGCATCCGTATATCAGCATTTTACCTAACCTAGGTTCCAAAGTTAATTGTGCCAGGTATTCTCCTAATCTGAAATATAAAAAAATTGGTTTTAAGCCACATAAAAACATATACAGGGTGACCCAACATTTATATTAGGTTTCTGGTATGCAACTTTCACTAGAATCAATTTTTATAAAATATGCGAGCAGTAGCTGCGCACTTTAAAAAAAACCTTTGTCAATATACTAGATGATTCAAATATATTTTCAAATTAAAAATGTTTTTTTTTAAATGGAATGCTATACCGTGCTGGCAACTATTACTTTTGGGTCGGCATTTACATGTGTGGAAGTAAATCGCATAGGGATCTTATTAAGTCGGAGTGAGAGAAATGTAACGGTGTGCTGTTGCGGCATTGCCGGTACGCCTTTCCTTATCAAGCGAAGTAAAATCGTGATCGCAAACCGCATATTTTTAAAAGGCTTTTTTTTCAAGAGATAACTAGATAAAATCATTAGACATTTTTCTGAGCATCTGAAATGGAATTATAAGGATATTGTTAGGGTGTCATTTTTTTATAACGAGAAAACGTCAGTAATCGCGATAACACAGCTTAAGTAAAAACCAGCTCGGACAGTGTAGCGTGCCGCTTTGATCTTTTTACGCTCGGATTTGCGATTCGAAAGAGGGGGAACACTAGAGCGGCGAGCTCTCTCGCCAAAACCGCTTTTAATTCTGTCTCTCTGTCTGTCAACCGGTCATTTATATTATTGTCTGTCTTACACGTTAAAATTCAGACCACACTTCTAAAATGACCAAATCGGTATATACATTATATGTATCTAAAATCATAAAACAAATTTTAATTTGAAAATATGTTGGAATCACCCTGTATATCTACAAAAAAATAAAATTTAGAATATGCATTACCATTACCTGCATAATTTATAAGAAAAACATAGTATTTTGTGTCACTGTGTAATAAACAGAAAACTAGTTCAAATGTACCGACTGATATTTTAAGCAATACGAGTAAAATACCAATTTTAATCATTTATTTTACTCACTTGGTCAGTTCCTCTTCTTTGTCTAAAGCACCAAGAGACTGTAAATTCTCTATCGCAGCAGAAATCGAATTTGATGTTGGTGGATCGGGTGCCAAACTCAGGAAATTGTAAATATTCATTGTATTGTGAGCTATGATTTTAGCATTTAAGCATAATTCCTAAAACAAAGTACCAGATTTCAATCACAAGACAGTAAAAATATCATTAATACCCCTTAAAATTATAGAAAATTGATAACATTTAAAAATACAATTTTGGTCAGAACTTTTGCCCTATAATAGCTAAGGAATGTGCTAGTTCTCTAAATTGCAGCAACGATATGTTAATTGGATTTTTATAAACATTATACAAACTGCCATGGTTGATAAAAAAAACATGTTGACGGCGCCACCTACAAGTAGGAGTCATATTGACATCGATATCAAATTTCTCATGTCAAAAAACACCAATTTGAATCCAAATATCGACTTTAGTTTGCAAAAATTAAACTTCTATTTAAAAAAGTAGTTCAAATGTACAATCGTAAAATTTGCTGTTTTTAGCGATTTAAACAGATACTTCACCTTTATAAGTAAATTTTAGTATAATAAATAAAAGAACATATAGTCCTTCTAAATAAGAAAAACATACTAACCATTAGCGTCGGACGATTTTTCGTTAATATTTTGGTCTTTTACATAATCTAGTAATTTCAAAAACTTTTTTACTTATTTCTATCTGCAGAACATGTTTTCAACCTTTGAATAAGAAGACTAAGGAAGGAGCATATCAAAAATCTTAGGTACACCGCGATGGGCCTCAAATATGGCCGACTTAAATTCCGGTTTATCAGTGTCGTTCTAATTTTATTTAAAAAATGTAAAACTATGATGTAGGGTAGACGTGGGGTAGACTCAATAACTTGTTGTTTTATGTTACGTTGTGAATAAATGTTGGTAGTTATTAAAATTTTTATAAAAATATATAAATCTAATAAAAATAGATAAGTTATAATAAGTATTTATTAACACAAACATCCGATACGCTGCTGAAGCAGGTAAGTCAAATTAACGTACCTAAATTCTTTGACATCTAATCTTTGACAAGTAATAAATCAAAGCTAAAATGCAAGAAAAATATATAATTTAGTTAATTTAAGTGAATTTCATAAATGATCGGTTTACTACACGTATGTATATTATATAGTCACTTACTAGCGAAAAGTTGTTCCATTATTTCACTCAATTTTTGCCGAGATCTACCGCCCGCTACACAACCAACTATTTTAGAATCTTTTTCGATAAATCGCGATAGTGTCACTGTTAATTTAAGTTCTGCCACAATTTCCATCTAGATTTACTACCTTTATACAACTATCAGTAGTAGAATAAATAATAAATAACATAAAATAAGCTCCGTAAAGACTGACAAATCCACAAAATTTCAAATCAAATTCAAATGTGTCAAATGAATCGTTAAACAGAACTGTCAAGGATCCCCACCCTAGAGTGCTTTTATGGCGCTTTTTCCGCCCACCATGCATGAATACATGGATAGCATTATGCTCCTTCCTTAGTCTTCTTATTCAAAGTTTTTTCAATATTACACATACCTCTAAAGACACTCTTAATATTTCGGGAACCCTTTCGTCAGCCATATGGGTATGTCTTTGATTAGAATACAATTTAAAGCAACACCCTGGTCTAACTCTCCCAGCTCTACCTTCTCGTTGTTTAGCGCATGCTCGCGAAATCCACTGGGTTTGCAACGCCGAAAGTTTGTTGTACTGAAACAAGTATCAAATAAAATAAATGAAAAATATGAAGGAAAAATACACGTACAGAATCGTAAACTTTTTCTTTTGCTTTGCCTATGTCTATGACAAAGACAACATCTTCGATGGTAATGCTGGTTTCGGCAATGTTCGTGCTCAATATGATTTTTCTCTGGTAAGGTAGCTTTTTGAATACGTCGCATTGGTCTTTCATGTTCATGCTGCTGTGCAGGAAAAATATCCTGTAAGAACTGCTGTTTATGTCCGAGTCGACTATGTGGTCGTTGCATTGCATTATCTCATCATAACCTATAACATGGTATATTATTAAGCTCGTGACAGATATAAACTTATAAATAAGACAGAGAAAACCATTAGAATTCAGTGCAAAGTATGTCCAAAGAGTTAGGGAATATTTCAACAGAAATCCAAAAAAAACTGGCGCCGGGAGGCACGTATAGCCGCCCATACTAAAATATGTTGGTAGGCAGTTCTTTTAGTTTCAAAGTAAAGGAATTTTTCCAATTTTTTTTTATCTCAAAAACTGCGACTTTGACTGATTTTGATGTTATTACAAATTTTGTTGTAAATATTATTCCTAATCTTAAATTTAAAACCGCGTTTCGCTAGCTACTGTAATTTTGGAGTTACGGTTTTTTAAAAATTTAACCCCCTCCCATACCCCCTCACCAACCCCCCACCCCCACCAAAAACTAATGGCCAGATTCTCGGGTGCCACAATATTTTTGTGCCAAATTTGGTTAAAATCGGTTTAGCGGTTTTTGAGTTACCGTGTTACAGACGGACAGACACCATGAAAATATTTTGTATTTAGGTCATTTATGATCCAAATAACTCATTTTGAGTTAAATTAAAAAAAAAAATTTTTTTCGATCTTAATAGCCTACCATACCTGTTGGTATGGTCTTAGTTTAGGTGTTAAGCTGTGGTTTTTATTTTTTAATAATTAACTATAATTTTGCAAAAATATTATTAGATTGGTTAGGATTTGGGTTGTTTTGGTTAGCTTTTTTTTGTGGAGGGTTTTAAGCTGTGGTTTTTATATTTTAATAATAATTAACTGTAATTTTGTAAAAATATTATTAGATTGCTTAGCATTTTAGACACTTTTAAATGATTTTTTTTGTTCAAAAGTGCTTCATCCAAGGTTTTTTTTCTTTTAAACTGTTCTATAAGCATAGAACTTTCTGCCAAATTTTTTTTACTAAATTCGTGGGTACTTATACTTTACAAGACCCGATAATATAATAAGGAACAAATGGAAAATGAAAATCAAGCATTTCCGCAGGAAATTTTTTATTTTCCTGAGTTTGTAAACGCTTCTAAAAAGCAAAAATATATTTATTTTTTATATATCTGATTTCAGCTATTCTAAAGTCTATTAAATTTCCTCAGAAAATGGATACAGTTTTTTTCCGCAGGAAAATCTTTATTTTCCTCAATTCGTGAATGCTTCTAAAAGACAAAAATATATTTATTTTTTATATAACTGATTTCAGCTATTCTAAAGTCTAATAAATTTCCTTAGAAAATGAATGTGTTTCTATGTTCAGAAAAATATTAAAAATAAAACGCAAAATGTATTTTTTATAGCAGATTTCAGCTATTCTAAGGTGCGAAATTTGGAAATTACGCATTTCCACAGGGTTTTCCGTGGTTCACAGTAGCTTTTTAAAGACAATTTTTTTTTCTAACAACTGATTTCAGCTAAACGAAAGTTGACACTTTCATATAAACGGAAGGAAAACGAAAGGTAGCTGATACGCAAGGTATAGTGAGAATCAACCTTAAAGCTGTAATTGAATACTATGTGACGTCATCACTCAAACGAATTATTTAAACAATATATTTTTGAATAATTACCTGGTAGAAATACTAAAATAGATCCACTGTCACAGTTGACGTGAATAAACTTAATTAAAGCTACTATCAGATCATAGTCTATAAAGTCATCAGGAGTTGTCATATCATATAATTGCTTCAAATACTGGTTATCTAAAAGAAAATTATAGAACATATAAAAAATGATATTAAGATATATATTAACTTAAAAATATAGATAAAAGTAGTTCAAATATACCAACAAAAATTTAACATGAAATAATTCTTTTTAAATATGTATATTATAGTTTGGTTTAAATGTCTACAATCAAAAAGAACAGACATTATAAAAATTACACTTTAAAAGGATTTTAAGCTTTAAAATAACAATATAAATTTAGTTTAGTTTTGTTTTAAAACCGAAAAAAAAATTTAAACCGAAATATAAAAAAGTAGTTCAAATGTACCATAGTAAAATTTGTTGTTTTTAGCGATTTAAACAGATATTTCACCATTATAAGTAAATTTTAGTATAATAAATAAAAGAATATATAGTGTAAGTCCTTCTAAATAAGAAAAACATACTAACCATTAGTGTCAGACGACTTTTCGTTAATATTTTGTTCCTTTACATAATCTAGTAACTTCAAAACGTTCATTTTGTTAGCAGCTCTTGCATAATCGTAAGCTGTTCTTCCTAGATCATCAGAAATTTCTAATTTTGCCCCTAAAAAGCAGAATGTAATAAACAAGACAGAGAAATTCAAACAAAAAAGTGTTTTTACCCATTGTGCATAATTTACTAACGAATTCCATGTCACCGAGATGGCTGGCGACCATCAAGGCTGTCCAACCTTTTTCTGAGTGTTTCTGATCCACGGAAACGTTTTCGGATATAAAGAGTTGCAGGAGGTCTGCAGTTGCTTCATCGTAATGCAGTGTATAATCATAGTTTCCACTAAAAGTATAAGATTCAGAAGAGATACATATTTTTAAATATAATCTAGTGCTTTACTATCTTTAAACATATTGAAAACGCAATCAAAATACATGTAAAAATCAATAAATTTTTGGCGTGCATGTCATCAAGATATTTGACGAATGCACGTTGCAATCTTCACACGGCTACTTTCAGTTTTATTAAATTCTCTATACTTTTACAAATTTCATCCAAGAAAATAAAAAATTCATAATTCCTTACCTGTAATTCATGTAGGTCTCCAAAACATAGTTAAAATTCCTCTGGTCATCTTCAGACAGCTCTTCCTTCTTCGAATCTTCCGAGTTGTTGCCTGATATTTGTTTTTGTTGACACTTGTTCATGGCGACTCGCATTTGAGGGGTAAAAAACTTGGTCATCGATAAAATATCTTCGAGAAAATAAGCCTGAATGGGGTACAAGCGGCCTGGGATAGATAATACAGCGCTTGTTTTAAAATATTGTTGAAATTTTGACGTATCCACTGTAGCAGACATCAAAATAATCTAAAAATTGGATACATTTCATCATGGTATCTAAGAAAACTCTTAATTTGACTTTATTTTCCAAGTTTGTAGTTGGTGCCACGAATACACATAAAAACTGGCTATATGTGCGATAGCTATGAAATGACAATCGATGACATTTCCCATATAAATTTAGACCTTGAATAAGAAGACTAAGGAAGGAGCATATCAAAAATCTTAGGTACACCGCGATGGGCCTCAAATATGGCCGACTTAAATTCCGGTTTTTCAGTGTCGTTCTAATTTTATTTAAAAAATGTAAAACTATGATGTAGGGTAGACGTGGGGTAGACTCAATAATTTGTTGTTTTATTTTACATTGTGAATAAATGTTGGTAGTTATTAAAATTGTTATAAAAATATATAATTCTAATAAAAATAGATAAGTTATAATAAGTATTTAACACAAACATCCGATACGCTACTGAAGCAGGTAAGTCAAATTAACGTATCTAAATTCTTTGACATCTAATCTTTGACAAGTAATAAATAAAAGCTAAAATGCAAGAAAAATATATAATTTAGTTAATTTAAGTGAATTTCATAAATGATCGGTTTACTACACGTATGTATATTATATAGTCACTTACTAGCGAAAAGTTGTTCCATTATTTCACTCAATTTTTGCCGAGATCTACCGCACGCTACACAACCAACTATTTTAGAGTCTTTTTCGATAAATCGCGATAGTGTCACTGTTAATTTAAGTTCTGCCACAATTTCCATCTAGATTTACTACCTTTATACAACTATCAGTAGTAGAATAAATAATAAATAACATAAAATAAGCTCCATAAAGACTGACAAATCCACAAAATTTCAAATCAAATTCAAATGTGTCAAATGAATCGTCAAACAGAACTGTCAAGGATCCCCACCCTAGAGAGCTTTTATGGTGCCTTTTCCGCCCACCGTGCATGAATACATGGATAGCATTATGCTCCTTCCTTAGTCTTCTTATTCAAAGAATTTAGATATAAAATGACAGCGATCTTCGTTTCATAGCCATCGCGGACGCCGTTTTTATTCGATCATACGGTAGTTTTATACGCGTAAAAAAATAGTTTTTATGTGTAACAAAGAGTTTTATAGGTGTAAAATAAAAATTAATGAATAATTTGATTCACTTTCACAAAATTTGTATTAAAATATCAATATTTTTAATAAACACGTGGACTGCTCACAAATGCACGTCGCGTCTCTAGCCGTAGGCTATCCTTACTACTTTTAGTCTCGCGTTTGTTTGTCACTAAGACCTTTTTAACTAAGACCTACTTACTTTGATATGAGGAGCCAAAACCAAATTTTGGCGCAGACAAATCAACAGAAAATCACTCAGTTTGTCGCGCTCGTGAATTTCATCAACTATCACGTGAGTGATGTACTTCAAACACTTGTTTCCACACATTAAGTTCCTTAGAAACACTCCTACAGTACAGTACAGCAAGTTAGTGTGATGTCCTAAAAATAAATATACTTATTTCCATTTTCTAACTTTCTAGTTACATTTTTTTCTATTTTTGGTTTTGCAAAAATAAGTTCCAGCAATAGAGTAAAGAGTAATACAGAGGTGGCATGTTTATAAAATAATTTCAAGGCAAACAAGGATGAAAAAAAAAGTTCTCTTTATTTTATAAATAAAACATGATGTTGTTTGTGGTTTAAAACAGTTTTTACCGGTTTGAACATGATTTTAAGTATAAAGCCGAGATTATGTTTAAAACTTGTTTAATACACTTGTTTGTAGCTCTTTAAAGCATGTTTAAAACAGAATTTTAAACGTGTTTTAAAAAAATGTTTGAAAAAAGTTATAATGTTTCTAAACATATTTTTTTAAATACGGTATTTTTACCGTATGATCGAATAAAAACGGCGTCCAGTTGGCTTGGAAATGACGATCGATGACATTTCCCATATAAATTTACATATAAAATGACAGCGATCTTCATTTCATAGCCATCGCTGACGCCGTTTTTATTCGATCATACAGTACTTGTTTATAAACAAAATGTTTAATATACAGCAAACCTAATTCTAAATGCAATATACAGGGTGTCGCAATATTCCCTGGTGGACATAGAACCAGGAGGGTGACAGTGAAATAGAAAAATTGGAAACAGTCATTAGTGTCATTCCTGTCATCTCCTGATGACAAGTATGGCCGCCTAGACAAGGATAGTAATGTTTCTGTCTAACTAATTTCGACGCCATTTTAATTCTCTCCGTTTAGTTTTGTTTTGTAAATTCAATTAGATATTTCGACTGAAATTTATAAGTATAAAGGTAATAAAGTATATAAAATATATATTACATGAAAAATCCTGGTCAAAAAGACGTTTCTGCAGTACTAGGTATGTTCCATGTATATTAAAAATAGGTAGTAAATAAACACTATTTCTATATTTTTTAGATGCAAGAAAATTTTGTTATATGTTTATGATCGGCGATTTTTTTGAAAATGGAAACAATTTAGAGCAAGGTTAAGATCATTTTTATCTATAGCCAATATTAGTATCTCCAGTATGTTCGATTTATTGTCAATAATGTAATAAATCTGACTGATACAATCTGATCGTTATCCGACTAAAAGTCTCTTTTTGCTTCTTCTGGATTTATAAACCAGGTCTCTTTGGGAATAATGGACGCTTTTCTTAAGTAGTATATTTATATTTTATACCTATTGATATTTTTACACTGTTAATTTTAGTATAAAAAAATTGGTTTTCTGTTTTCAGATTTTTGTATAAGGCTCCCGTTTTCATGTTCCTGCCCCCGTTTTCTGTTTCTGAAGGCTGTGAATACGTGTATTTATTTACAAATTACTGTAAGTCATGCTTTATACCTTACTAATTTACGTTAAAACAGCATATAACTAAGTAATTGATATAGAAATCATTCATTTCTTTATTTTTTATATTTATTTAGACACGTTGTCTCATATTTCAAATAAATATGTGTGAATAAATTTTTATTTTGTTTTATTTATGATAAGAAAGAGTACAAAATACTTTTAAACTGAAAGAGGGCCCGCCATTGAATAACCGGAAACGGAAATAAAAATGAAGCAATCATGTCAACCTGTCAATTGGAAAATTAGTTCTCCAGACGACAACGAAGGCTTTCGATGGCGTATCGTGTTTCCACGATTTAACACAGAGTTGACACTTCTTTCTAATTAATTTTATGCATAGAGCTACTACATATTTTTTATATCAAAATAAGTTTATTACAAGACACAATGTACCTCAATACAAAATTGCTTCGTTTATCCGCTAGAGGACATGAAACTTTAAAAAAAATAAACACAATTTTTCAGATATTTTAAGAACCATTATTCCAATTTGAATGAGATTTGGGTGTCATATTTTTCTAAGTGCTTTAACATTTGGCTTTCACATAAATCAAGAAAAAGTACGGCAAGGATTAAAACTGCCCGCACCCTTACATAAATTTTAGTATAAATATTTTCCAACTCTACCGACGACCGATTTTCTTTTCGTAAAATGGACCCTCTAGTATTTACTACATGTTTTGTCTCTTGTAAGAAAAAAAACGCAAAAAATATTTTGGGAAAAATTTTTTTAGAGAATTTATTTTTCCAAAGCAGACCTACAAAATATACAGGGACTTCCAATATTCCGTGGACATAGAACAACTACGTAATAATATATGTTTATTTTTTTAAAGTTTGATGCTCTCTAGTAGACAAACCAAGCACTTTTGTATGGAGGGTAAATTGTGTCCAATGAACGTATTTTGATTCCAAAAATATGTAGTAGTTGTATGTATGTCCATGGAATATTGGGACACCCTGTATAGGGAATAAGAGCCAAAATCTGTGACTCTTGATATTATCAAACACTATTTTATTTTAAAAAATGTAGAGAATTGGCTTTGTAGTAAAGATTTTTGTAATTTATAATTAAATTATGAGAAGCTAGTCATTAAAAACAAAAGGTAATGATTTTTCTCATTATTGCAAATAAGATACATTTGATTTTATAACAAAAAGAATATCGTTTTTATAAAACTTTGTGTTTTGATAAATAATTTTTATATTTAAAATTGAAGTAGACATTACTAATAATTAGGTAATTAAGGCATAAAGATATAATGACTCCCAATATTTTTTTTATAAACAATAATCATTTTAAGCTGCATCAGTACAAAAAGTAATTATTTATTTTTATTAAAATTAATAAAGGCATTTTCAAATGTTCTACTAATGCTCAACTTTGGTTGCAGGGGGGGGGGGATATAGGTACTTACCACAATTTGATTCCAATCTAATATGATATCCCACACTTCCGCCAACTTTTTCACCCCTTTCATATGCAACCCTCTCCGCAGCAGCTAAAGTAGATATCCTCCTAGGTTGCGTACAAACAATTTTACAAGGTTTGTTCTTATACACGCAATCCTCCATAATATACTGTGGAATCTGAGTGGTTTTACCAGATCCAGTTTCAGATGATATGATTACAACCTAAAATCATCATTAAAATATGGTTGGTTCTATTGAAAATTATATAAAATATATATATATACTTGATTATGGTCGATGGTATCCAAAACTTCCTGTCTCTTTTCGAATATCGGTAAGTTTTTTCTAGCAATTTGAATTTCCTTATCGACATGACCTAGTTTTGGTACTAGAGGATCGGAATCTTGCAGTCTGCCATATACTTTTTCAAATCTTTTTACTGATCTTGGGTTTTCAGGTTGTAGTTCCAAGCTATCTACAAGATACATTACAATATTAATTATTTTGAAACAATATTATCACTCTCCAAATAATCCTATATGTTTTTTTGGTTATCTTTTACCCAAATCATAGACACAATGATAACAATACACAATATATACAACTTACAATTCCATACATACAAGGCGTTTAGGAAAAAATAAGGATAGGAAAACAATATAACATACGAACATCTTTCAAAACACAAAATACACTTATAGATCCATTTGATCACATACTAAACCAAATACAGAACAACAAACAAAAAATGTAACATACAAAATACCATGTGAATGTGATAAATTTTACATTGGTCAAACATCTAGACCATTAAATGTTCAAATTAAAGAACCTAAAGATTATTTAAGAAAGAGCGATTTTCACAAATCTAAGATTTGTCAGCATTCATGGGACGCAGGGTACAGAATAAATTTTAATAACGCCAAAATTATAATGAAAGAAGCGATAGCCTCTAAAAGAAAAATAAGAGGCTTTTTAATACAATCTAATAAAAATAAATGTACTGCTCATGAATCATGATGTTAGTAATGTATGGCAATTGCTTCTTTGATTTTAAAGAACATAACATAAATAAACATAACATAGATAAGTAAAAATTAAAAATAATCATACAGAAAGTTTGGGGCTTTTTGGTTTTACCCAGAGAGAAACTAATAACTAAAGTGAGAGGGCTTGTGGAATAGGGCATTTCGTAGACAAGTTTATTTTGTCACCGCGCATCCCAGACGCGCATAGCGTTTAGGCGGTCAAAAAAGGAAGTTTTCAACTTTGCAAGTTAAACATTTGACAGGATTAATTAGATTGTCAGTAGCTTTTTCTATTTCTTAGTTCTAGAAGGAGATAACTAAAATCTGTTGATAATCGGAGCAAATCGGAGTAATAAATTGTTTTTGACTGAATGTGCCCGTTCTTTTAGCTTGTCAGAAGAGAAGATTATTGTCATTTTTGATTATTTCAGATTCCACGATTATTCGGCATTTTTGTTTTGTGGTTGAGAACCAGACAAAATGTTTCCTTTAAAGGTAAGTTTTATCTCGGTAATTATTTTAACATACCTAATAGTAATAGTGAGTGCACATAATAATTGTACATTGCTAATTTAATTTTTTTAATATAAAACATCACATTCTTTTCTGATACCTATGGAACGACTAGGTATTATACCTGGTATTATTTCCAGTAATACAAATTATTTTCTTCAACTGCTAGGTTCTTGTTATAGAATAAAGACTATCAAAAACATTGAATACCTACGGGATACCTACTGATACTCTGTGCAACCTCCCAACCGTGCTTCCCTGTTCACTCCCAACCAACTTAGATAAAAAACATACTGAAGATTGCAGCCTTGAGTTGGAGTATGGCAAGGAGTATGGAGTTAAATAAATTATTATGTTCCTACACAGTATTTTATTTATAGGTTTTAATGCTTTAAAGTCTAATAATAAATTTTCGTTGTCAACAAAATAATCTAAAAAAACTACGAAGATTTCTTATTATAAACTTGAAAGATTAAGATTCGGTTCAAATATACAAATTTTAAATTTTTGGCGCCAGTATATAGGTATGAATGCAACCTACTATATCGATAATGCGCTCATAGTTCGGGTTAGACGCCAAAGGCCGCGCCACTAACACAGTCTTCAAAAATTAACGTTGATCAGTCTCTCTCACTTTAGTTATTAGTGTTCTCTCTGGTTTTACCTTATTAAGTAATTGTTATCAGGTAGTAATTGTTAATTCTGAAGTAATTGAAGAATGTTTGGAAGTGAATGAATAAGATTATTAAAATGGGGAATGAAATTGTCAAGAATGGGAAGATTCTCTCTATAACAATTCTAATTATAATCTTACCATATTTCTTTTTAAAATCTTCTAGTACTTGCATAATTTCATCACAAGGATACACCTGAATTGACTGACTGGCAATCTGTTTAGGTAACTTCTTCAAATGTAGTTGCCTGTTAGGCTCCTTACCATGAGACTTTGAAGAGAGATTCATAATTTGGGCCTAGATTCAAAATTTACGTACATACGTATATATAGTAACAATACAAACTTATTTACCTTATAATGAATATACTTTCTTTGTAAATTATTTAAATCCGTTGGAAATATATATTCAGTTTTCTCAGAATCGTCCAAAAACTCTCTGAAGATATTATCAATTTCGATTCTCAGGTGTTCCGGTGTTGCTTCCTGTATATGTTCATCAATACATAAATTTGGGTTTTTCCTGCCCTTATTTACACCAAACCTTTGATAACAGTCGTTTAAGTTTATACTAGTTTAACGTTTATAAAAAAAATAAAGAAAAGTGTGAGAATATACCTTATATTTTGCCTTCTAGGCATTCCGGACTTATTAAGTCCTTTGCTCCTGGCAGGATTCATTCTTATAGAGGAGACAAAATCGTGGTAAAATTACAATAAATACTTATGCTATCACAAATATTTATCACAGAAAATATTACAGCTGATTCCAAAAATACAAAAATATTCTTGGATAAAAATAATCAAGCCATAACCTAATTTTCCGACTTGTCAAAACACAAAAAATATCATCCGTCCTTTTCTATCTCACAGGCGAGAAAAGGTAAGGAAGATATTTATTATAGTTGATCGCTAGATGGCGCAACATGTACGACTTTCGCGCCATTCGAAACGTATGTGAAAATTCGTTAGAAACTAAATCATTATAAACAGTTTTTAGCAATAAAACACTTTAATATTAATAATGTAACATATGTAAAGGTGCTTATAATAGAAAGATATTTAGGAAAATATAATATGACCTTTCTACTTGAAATGACTAGGTATTATAAGTTCGTTTATGTTTTAACAATTTATTTTACGATGTATTTTCAATATATTAATGTTTTGCCTCGGTTATATTTCTAAATAGATATATGCAGTCTAACAATGCTTATAACTGCATCAAAGTTTTAAAATTAATCACTCTAATACTATTTAAAGAGCAAAAATCTCACAAATTTAACCTTACATACCTACATACCTTATAATTATTGCTTACAAAAGAGGGGCAGGATTCTGTAGCTTCTCACATATAAAAACAACTAATTTAACAGAAGCACAACACTGAACTAAGAGACATTAAGAACCCAGCCGTTCCTGAGCATATCCTGGAACAAAAAGAATATTCTGCATGAGGTGCAATAAAACCGTTAAAAAAGCCCGCAAATTTGTAAAACAAAGGGATTAGGAAGGGATATGAAGAGCCAATCGGGATATTGCAAATCTAGTCATCTGGGACATCATTCGACCAATCATGTAAACTGTAGATTGACAGCTGATGTTTTGTCATAGAAACAATTGTTTTTAATATTTTACCTGCAGATTTTATTAAATTTGTTTAATTTTTAGAAATTTTAAGTGATAAGGTGTGGGCTTGTTGGAAACCTTTTAGGTGAGTACTTGATAAGTTTTTATTGTACATTTATGAAACTTTACTTCTATTTCGTTATGTTAAAACGCCCCATTAAAGTTTTATATTTTATACTTACTTTAAAAACACAAGGTATTGCTAATTGGAAGTATTTTATTAAAAGAATGGTTTATATTTCTACAAAGTCTTCTAATATAGAAGTAATATTCTAAACTACCTACAAGGAAATTTTTATATCACAATATCATAAAGAGAATTATAAATAACAAGACTACAAGAATCAGTCACTAAAATCTAACTAGTTATCTTAAATCTAAACATAAATACTACATTAGATCAGTATTTAGAGATAACAATAAAATTACAAATATCTATACAGGGTGGTCCACTTTTTAGTAGAAGGCGATAGTAAAAAATAAAAAATGTAACTATTTTTCGGCACTAAATTGAAAAAAAGTTAAATCAAACAGGGTATTTTAAGGAACGTTAAAAAGCTCAATTGGAAATTATTTTCGAGTGTACAGGGTGCTTCGAAAAAAAATTGATGGGTACATAAATGTTTTTTTAAAAGAATCACTTCATTTTATTTTATTTTTAGTACTTAAAGTCTATTACTTTTTTGTTGTTACCGTATGCTGGACAAAAAAACGGCGTCCAGACAAAAAATTGGCTTGGAAAAATCACGATCATTGACAATCCACAATCCTCATATACTTTTACATACAATATGACAGCGATCTTCATTTCCAAGCCATCTATGACGCTGTTTTTTTATCATTTTATTTTTAAATATTATTTTTATTATTTTCTTAACTAAATCAGTATTAAGTAGAGACATATGACAGATGACAAAATGAATTTATTATTTTTAAAGAAACTTATTGTTTTTGTATATTATTTGCTTCTCTGAGAAATAAAAGACAAGTAAGTAAAATATTTTTTTTCTTTTAGAGTTGTGTTATAATATTAAAAAGACACTAATCTTTTCAAACCATTTATGAAATGGTTTGCTGGGTTAGAATTTGGTGTCGTCTGGCATTTTTTCGAAAAAGGCCACTTGGTCTTCTTCCACTCTATAGTCGTGGATCCATCTACTTCCTTTTCTTAGACTTCCATCAATACCATCTTTCCAAACTCCTGCAAATTGAAAATTGGAGTATCACATTGATATTTTCTAAAATTATAAAATATAGGGATGTCCTCAAGTATCGATATTTTAAAATATCGATAACTTTATTTGATTTTATATTTAGATTTAATTTTTATCCACGATATTTAATCTTAATCTAATTTCATCTTTGTTAATCCAAACTGCTTAAAATAGAAAATTCCTTTAGAAGAGATGTCGATATGTACGTATCGATATTTTTGATATATCGAATCGTTGCTTTTGGTTATATATTTCTTATTCTATATATATCGATATTTAATTGTATTTACAGCTGAGCGAGAATGGTCTAGGTCTTGTGGTCTTGGTCTTAGTCTTGAACAAAAAGCCAAGACCAAGATTAGCGTTAGATCTGCAAGACCAAGATTGACCAGTGCAAGATTCAGGCAAGACCAAGCACGCAAAACTCTTCCTGCCTTGCATTTTTCCCCTATACCTAATTTATAATTTTTTAAATAATAAAAAAATGCCTCTAGTAAAAAATGATTAAAAAAGTTGAACACCAAGACCAAGACTGGACCTTCAAGGTCAAGACCAAGACTTCTTATTAGATTGCAAGACTAAGACCAACGAAGTCTTGGTCTTGCATTTGCCCGTCACTAACTGTATTATCTTTGCCAATTAATAATGTTTTCCAAGTTCTGTTGAAAATAGAAAATTAGAGTCCTACAATAAAAACGTCCATTAATAAAATATAGAGATGTCCATAAATATCGATATTAAAAAATCGGTACGTTTCATTTTTCTATTTACCAGGGTATATCGATATTTAACAGTAGGTATTATCTTTATTAATTAACATTTTCCAAGCTGCTAACAATAAAAAAGAAGTCCAGACATAAAATATAGGGATGTCTATATGTATCGATATTTTGAAATGTCGATATATCGATATTTAACTTTGCTACATTTGTTAGTTAATAACACTATTTCCATTCTGCTGAAAATACAATTATAGAGACTAAAGGACAGTAAACATCTCGGGTTTTCACAAATTAAAACTTTTTAATTTTATTGAAAATTGTTAAAAACATTTTTGAAATTACCTGCTGGAAGGTAAACTTCTCTTTCTCTGGCTCCATGATTGAGGATGGGTGCCACTATGATATCTTCCCCAATAGAAAATTCATCCATTACGCTGTGACAAGAAGGATCGTTTGGATCAAGCATCCACAAGGGTCTGATAATGGGCAGTCCTAAGTTCAAAGAAACTCTTGCGTATTTCTTTAGAACTGGAGTAACCTAAAATGAAATTTAAAGATTTAAAAATAAATATTTTTTTTTTTGATCTGAGACATTCAATTTTAAGACACTCTGTATCAGGGTTGGAAAAATCATGATTTTTAAAGAAAATCAGAAAAATCAGATTTATTTGATTTAAATCAGTTTTTTTTTATTTAAATCAGATTTTTTTGATTTAAATCAGATTTTTTTGATTTTAATTCAAAACAATATTTAAATCGGATTTCCAAATGACTAGGACTTATTTCCAATTAAAGTCCTATCTTAAATGGCTAAATTTTTATAACTTTGTCCGTTATCGATAGCATTAATAATTCTAGGGTGCGTTTGTCATTTTTTCACATCGGTCACCAATATATTTCGCAAAAAAATCGCTCGCTTCAGATCAAAAGGATTTTTTTTCAAACGTCTCAAAAGTATTAATTTTTGTCATTTTAACGCCTAGGTATAAAAGTAAAGCACTGTTACGCCTAAGCACAAAAGTACAAAAATATATTATTAAACTGATATTAAGTGTCATATTCAACGAGTGTACAAATTGTTGCTTGATTCCTGTTTATATTATTTGCGATGTTTGAAATTGATTAAAAATGATTTGTAATGTTTTAAAAAAATAGTATGTATGTTCTATTAGGAGTAAAAATGTACTTTTTGTCCTTCCTTGTAACGTCGGAATAGCTTTACGATGGTCCTTCAAAGGTACAGTACGTCTGTCCGTTCTGTAGCTACGGGGTATCCGTGAGAGGGGAAATGAAATTCTCTCGATGTTTTTCGTAAAAAAATAGACGACGCGTCCCATCAATAAAAATTCAACAAATTTGCAAGTAGCCAATAAAATGAGTGGGCGGAGCGATTTGCGGTGACGCACTCGTCAAATCGACTTATAAAATATATTGCTGTTTATTTAAATGTTTTTTGTCCGCATTCCTTTTATAGACACATATCCAGCAGATGTACTGTACAGCATCATCAAAAAAAGTATAATTTTTACTCCTAATAAAACAATACATTATTGTTCAAAAATACTCTTAAGTCGAGACTGAAATTAGTATTAGTCAAAGTGTAAAATTCTTACTGCAGATCAAAATCTCGGTAAGAATTTGGAAAAATACAACCATTTCAAAAAATATATAAAACAACATATTTCCTGACAACATTTATTATGATAGATTCTCGGGAATGAAGATATAGTCTCTATATCAGAAGAACCTAGTTCTGCATTAGACTGCGAATGATATGTATTCGAACAGCGAATTTTTGTCACTTATGCATAAATTTTAAAATACATCCCTGCGTTTAGCGGTGTAATGGATTCACACGAAACTACTTCAAAAATCGGTCCAACATTTAAATTCATGAATAGATACTTTTTTTATATAGTTTTATAACATTTACGATTACTTTTCGATTTATTATCTGTTATATCTTTTATAGAAATATTTTTTATAGTTTTCTAGGACACATTTTTATAACTTTTGCAGTTATTTTTTGATTTACAATAAAGTTTTAATATTTTTTTTATTATTATTATTTAAATCAATGATTAAAACTAAAAAAAAATCACTTGATTTAAATCATGATTTAAATCATTTGATTTAAATCATGCCAACCCTGCTCTGTATACATAAACTCATACGCGATACGTAAACATAAATAAATGTATGATGCCAATGTATCAATCTATTATGACAATGATGCCCCGAAGCAACACTAGAAGAAAAGAATTATCTCTATTTATTAGACTATTAACTCCCAATATCGGAGGATCTCGCGCGGAAAAAAAGAATACTTCTCGCTTCGGTAGTTCATCCGACCATACTCTACGCATCGCCGATCTGGGACAGATCCATACGCTTCAAGCATTACGAAAACATGCTAGAAAGGATAAATAGGAAGTTAGCACTCAGGGTTGCATCGGCATACTGCACATGTCCAACAATAGCGGTACTGTGTCTTGCTAATATACCTCCGATCAGTCTACTGATCCAGGAAAGAAACCAAATATATAAAAATGGAACTTCCTTCCGGAAAGAGGCCAGAAACATGGTACTAGAGCAATGGCAGACACGATGGGAAGCATACAGCGGATGGACAAAGACTTTCATACCAAATAAAGATTGAATAAAATGCGACCAAGCTAACACGAACTACTACATCACGCAAGCCATGACTGGTCATGGAGTATTTGGCGAGTATCTGCACAGGAACCGCAAGGCTGACTCTCCTACATGCTGGTATTGCGAGGCGCCAGACTCGGCTAACCATACACTATTTGAGTGTCACGCGCACGAAGATATAAGGGAAAACGCAGAAACAGTATGTGGTACGAAGATTACTAGAGTAAACGTCGGAAACCTTCTAACATCATCGAATGAAAATATCGAAGCGATTTGCGGTATGTTAAGGAACATTATGAAGAAAAAGGCGAAGGACGAAAAAGACGAGATCTGGGTACAGACAAGACCAACATAGAAGAATGATAAGTCTCTAATCTTGATGAAATAAATGCCTTCGGCGGTACCGAGATTGACGAGCTTAGAGCACAGATTGGTTTTTAGTGGGTAGACCCTCTCGCGTGAGGGAGATCCCCACACTCTGGCCCTAAAGGCGTTTCCCATCTATAAAAAAATGATCAATTACTCTAAAACCAAAGTCATGGTATTTGGAAAGAACCAAAATACACTCTCTCAATTTCCATTAAAATAGAAGGCAATGTGTTAGAATAGGTCTACAAGTTGAAATATTTGGGGTCCTGGATAGTTAACACCTTGAACAACGACGTGGAAATAAAAACCAGAATAGAACAAGCCAGAAATGCATTTTTAAAAATGAAGAACATATTCCAGAACCCCAGAGTGGATCTTGAGTTGAGAACTAGGCTCGTCAGGTGTTATGTTTGGTCAATCCTATTATACGGAACAGAAACATGGACAGTGAAAGTTCAAGAGATGAATCGTCTCGAATCGTTAGAAACATGGATATATTGAAGAATGCTCAAAATTTTATGGACAGCCCATATCACTAATAAGGCTAATACCCTTGTATATATATTTTTAAAGTAGATCAACCTAAGACGTTTATGGACTAAGACTACTAGATGGCAGGACCAGTTTCCCTACAGAAAAATATTTTTTGTTACTCTGAATTTTGAAGCTACCAATAAAAACAGAGAAAATAAAAAACGATAATTTTCGGACTGTGCCAATTGGTTACTAATCGACCAGATACTTTTTATCTATTAGATATGCTATAAAAGCTGGCAATTATACAATTCGATCATTGTAAATACCCGACAAATTCTTCAAGGCCGACAAGGCCGATGCTTCTCACTGATAAGAAATAAAAATGTTTGTTTGGATAATTTTGGAGGTATTTTTTCTTTCTGAATGCACATTTTAAAGTATTTTATATTCTTTGTCCCCTTGACCTATTATCCTGGTCGCACGTATGGAAGTTCTGTTTCTTCTAGTTTTAGAAAATGTTCTTATTTCTTTTTTCTTTGTAGTTGTAGTGTAAAATTAGTATTCTTACTCTGTTATGATTTATAACATAAAAACATAGAATATATTATTAAACGGTTCTTTACGATTTACATTACGCAAACTAGAACTTCATAATATTACTACCCCATACACTTAAGTTATTTTAGAAAATGTTCTCTCGTACCACCTCTTCGAGGGGGCCCATGCAATTGGTCCACATCTTCCGATTTCTGAGTTGGCATAATTGTGTCATTTTGTGACATGTTGGAACCACCCTATTGATGCGCGACTATCTAAATTTAACTTTTCTAACATGTCTTGAAAACCGTTCTCTAAAAAACGTAAATAACGTTCACTGGTCAACGTATCCTGGCAAATGTATGGCCAAGAAAAGTTGAACCAATAATCCTACAAGCTTTTCTTGATTTAAAAAATTCATATTTACAATTTTTGTTTAAGCAAGTTGCAATTTTTTGAACATTTAATGAAGAATGTAAAAAGTTTTATGTTTTCAAAAAAAAAATATTGTAAAATACTCAATTTAGAATAAAATAATCTAAGAATGAAATGATTCTTTTATAAACCTGCATTAAATCAAATTAAAGTATGTATGTAACTTTTTCTAAATATTAATTAACAGTAATTAGCATTATCATAAATTATAAAAAATGTACCAACATATCGAAATAATAATTTCTTTGTTAATACGGTTTAGAATTTTTAAAATAACAGGAAAAAATAATCCACAATCTACAATAAAATAAAAGTTTCGTTTAAATTTCTTAATCAGCTGATCACTATTAAAGATGCAGAAACCCGGGCTATATTATTATATTGCTCTGAGGAAAATAACGAAAATAATCGATATTTTTGACTGCGCCCCGAAAGATTCACGATTTGTCCTCCAGCTGGCAGCACATTTTGTCTAGCCGGTTGAACAACTTAAAGAATATATAAACAAGGCTAATACCGAAGTTTACAACAGAATAGGCAGAGAAAGAGAATTGCTCAATATAATAAAAATTGGTCAAGTGCGAGTCGGACTCGCGCACGAAGGGTTCCGTACATAGACTTAAAATAAAATATAGACTGAGCATCTCATTCATAAATAGCTGGAACATGCGGTCAGACACTGTCTTATTATTGTTGTGTTATTGTTTTAGGTTATAACAAGTGCGACACGAGCGATAGATAGGTTGTCTCTGTCGTAACGGTCGTTCCCTGACGACTCTGCCGAGAAACACAACACTGTCTTTCGTTTCTCAAGTACACCTGAACTCTCCGTATCATAGCCGGGTAATTTTTTTATTTTAATGAAGCTATAATTAAATTAAAAATATATCGTATTTAAACTTTTTATATTTTATTAAGATTTAGGATAGGTTTTTAAATAAAAGTTTAGAAAAAACAATTTAGAGTCCAAAAGGATAAAAATAATAAAATACACGTTATAGAAGAAATTTTATAATCGAAATTAGGTAATTTTTGAAATTAATAATAAATTATTAATTTTAGTCAAACATTTACAACCCCTAATATTAATCAAAACAGGATCTATTCCACAGATATAATAGAATCGGCGACAGGGAGAGAAAAAAAAATATGATTGTTGTAATTTTTTTCTGGTTAAGTGATGTCTTATTATGTAAATTAGAGAAAACATAAATCTGTTCGATTAAAGCAAGGAAGGTGATAGAAAGTGGATAAAATGAAAACTACATTTATTTAACTCGGTACTGTCTTTATTATACCGGGTGCGTCTCAAAAATGGCTCATCCCCATAATTTTTTTATATTTTCAAATAAAAAAACAAGATTTAGTATGTTAGTATATGAAATAAATTAGGATTGATTGACGCATTCAATTGTTTTTGGTCACTTCCTGTTTCACCGGAAATGACTATAACTTTTAATTTTTAAACGGCAACCTCGGTATATTTCTACTTTATTCGATAGAAAATGACACTCTGAATAGAATGACATATCATATGTCAACTTTTGACATTGTCGCTTAAAAACATATCCTATTTTAAATTTCAATCCAGTTTTTTTCAATCCACTAAGTTTTAATCAAGGAGCCTTGGAAAAATAGTTTTGATCGTCTAATAGGTTTCGTGTCTTGTCTAGGCTGGTTAAAAGATGTACAAATCGTATTTTTAATCATACATATGTCAATTTTTTCAAATGGAACAAGGGTGACTCATTAGCATATTTGGAAAAAGCATTTTTTATGAATATATTGATACCACACACTTGGTATTTCGAGTCAAATTGTCGTTATGAACCGCGTGTTACAATTACAATTAAACCATATGAGAATGTCAAAAGTTGACATATGATGTGTCATTCTATTCAGAGTATCATTTTTTATCGAATTAAGTAGCAATATACCGAGGGTGCCTTTAAAAATCAAAAGATGTAATCATTTCGGTGAAACAGGAAGAGACCAAAAACAATTGAATACGTCAATAAATCCTAATTTATGTCATAGTAACTAACATACAAATCTGTTTTTTTATCTGAAAAAATAAAAAAAAGTTATAGGGTTGAGCCACTTTTGAGACGACCCGGTATATTAAAAAATATTGTTTCATAATGTAATATCATTTTAAAATTCTTGTATGTTATTTTAGATTCTGAAGATAATTTTAGAATAAACCGGAATATATTTTTAATAAAAACATTATTAATTATTAACAGGGTTATAATTATGATTTTGTTACAATGTAAGTAAGTAAATAATGTAATGTAAGAGAAAAAATTCAGATTTTACATTTTACTAAAATATTATCTAAATAAGCGCCTTTCTACAACAACGCCACTGACTCCCAATGGGTAAATTGAGAGTTGCCTACCGGTCAAAAGTCGTTTCAAGACTTAAATGGATTATTTAAGTCAAATTTCTTGCAAATTTGGCACTGGCGAACCATATTTTATAGTTCTTGAACAGAAAAAGTCAATAAAATAAACACTTAAGCACTACAAGCTAAGAAAATGCGTTAATACAGCCGGGGAGATAGCGGCAACAAAGCTTTACCGCACACGTGCGACACGTACTACAAGGTAATAAATGAATGAATAGGCTCCCTCGCCTCTAATCGGTGTTGTCATATTGTAAAGAACTTATCCTTTTTAAACAGTATCCGACTTATAATTTAGTAGTATAAGGACTATTTAATACATCTCTGGAATATTAAAACCTACTTTATTAAACTGTAGTATTAATATCTCAATATATGTGTATAACAAGAAAAAAAATATTGATAATATTAAAGACGTGACAACATAGGCTGGATGAGGAAGGCTCGGTCGACTGTACCCAGAAGTAAACATGTGTACAAAAAATATTGTCTGTCCGCGTTGAGATGTAAATAGTGTAGTCTATATTTTATTTTAAGTCTATGGTTCCGTACCATTCATTATCTATACAACATTAGACACTATATTATTATAAACTTTTTTTTTCCCATTTAGCTTAAATTTTGAATGGGCGTACTTTATATTTAAAAAAAATGAAGAAACACATTACTAAAAATTGTATTAATCAATAATAAATATGTAAAAAGTAAAAATATGTAAAAATTAAAAAAAACGATTAAAAAAGTCACCTTGACTAGGATTCGAACCTGCCTTACTACGGCTCCAACGTAGCAGCGTAAAATCTTAACGCTTTAACCACGCGGCCACCGAGGACTTGAAGATTCTATGTAAAATTCTTACTTAAAAGATAATCTTTAGTGAAAGTTCTTTTTATTTATAAACATTTATTTAATTCTGTTTTTAGTATTTGTTCTTATAGCAGCAACATAGATACATTATCTGTAAAAATTTCAACTGTCTAGCTATAACGGTTCATAAGATAGACTTTTGTGACAGAGGGACGGACGGACAGCAAAATCTTTAGTAATAAGGTTCCCGTTTTTACCCTTTGGGTACGGAACCCTAAAAATAAGAAAAACATCTTATTTAGGGTATACATATATTGAGAAATGAAAAATACCACGTCTTACAACTAATAGTTAAGGACAAAATTGAAGGAAAAAGAGGTCCCGACAGGAAGGAACTATCTTGGTTAAGAAGCATCAGAAATTGGACTCACCTAACGTTTAAAGAACTCATAAGGAAAGCCAAGAATCGTGAAGATTTTGTCAATGTTATCGCCAACCTCGACGAAAGAGATGGCACGTAAAGAAAGAAGAAGAATAGATATCATCCACAGAATCAAATAGCAATGGGCAGGATACCTGACAAGAAGGACGTAAAATAGATGGACCAAAAAAAATACAGCATGGTACCCACGAGGAATTGTGAGACCTAGAAGAAGACCGGACCTAAGATGGGACCATAATATATGTGAGGGTGGCTACACCATAATTATAAATGGTTGAATAAGCTGAAAATGATGATGATGATGATTATGATGAATGACAGAACTTACTCGGTTTTGTCTGAGAAGAGCTAAACTAATAGCGCTGTCCAACACTTTTTTATCTCCATAACTATTGGGCAATCTGTTGAACCTGACCACCGGTAGAAACGCTGAGAGTTGCAGCCATCTGATGTAGAGTTCTTGGTCGGGTAGGCCGTGGATGCTGCCATTAACTTGACCGATGACCGTGTCAATTGATGCGTAGTCTCCACCAACAGCACCAGGAATGAGGAAAGGATATCTAGAACAGAAATATTGTAGTACAAGAGCTAGCAACGTCGGAAAAACAAGTATTTTAAGACATCTCTGGCTCTTTGACATATCTTTTACTATGCTCTCTAGAACAGCATGCGGCCCGTCTGGCTGCCGGTAAACATTGCGTTCCCTACTGCGCATTGAAACAAGATCCTATATTTTTATTAGTCTTTTAAATTCTATATTTGTTTTTTTTTTGAGTCACCAGAATTATTTAATACTTTATTATCAGAATATAAACGAACTAAGAACTAGACGTCTTAAAATACTATCAAGGTGTATGTGGCGCTAAATTGTATTACTGGTTACCTACCTTACCGCAACGTGTCAAGAAAAATGGCGCATTTGCCAGAAAGTAAAAGAATATTACAGAATTCTTTAAAACGTTCCAGAAACACTCACCAGAAAGTATATAAAGCCCGCGCTTGGCAGTTGGACCAGTTTGAAGTTTGAATATATCGCGTTTGGAAATTGTGAATTAATTGGCGAAGGTGCTAGAGTTAGAGTAATAGTAGTTGCATAAATTGTGTTTTATAATTAGTATAAATTGTGTGTACAGAGTGAGAAAGAAATAAATTCGTTAAGTATTTTATCGTGAGTTTAAATTAGTGGACCCACGGAATCCGTAACAAAACTTTCTCGAAAACGTTGCTAGCTCTTAGACTATAGGGTTTCTATACTTTGTTAATCAGCCATTATACAGCGAGTCTTAAATAGGTGCAAATATTTGTAAGGGTAGTATAGTTTGACCCCAGAATCACGACTATGAGGTTTTTTTCGCGAAAAAATGGCTTTGAAAAATTTGGATTTTTTTTTTAATTTTTAGTTTAAAACATAATATCTTGATAATATGGCACCATATATTTCATATCAATTAAACTTTTAGTTACGTAATCGAGGGCGCGATTTTTAAATTCATTGTTGCCAACCATGGACATATTCGGCGCCGTGCTGACTAACTGGAATTTAAATTTGGCGATGGGGATTCAGGTGGTAGCTCTGCTGTAAAAAATGTCACGTTTTCAACATTTATTTATTTATTTCCTGACATTGTCATTCGTTTTGACACTTTAGTTTTGTATTACGAGTTTTTGGTTTAAATAAATAATGTTGTTTACTAGCAGACTTTGCAGTCGAACATTGTTCTTTTTAGAACCTCTTTTAGTGCGAAGTGTACAAGATAGCTTAATAGCCGTAAAAAACTGAACGCAACTTTATTAGAATATTTTGAACGGGATTACTGACGTTTTATCGTTATGAAAGAAATGGACACCTTAACGATATCCTTATAATTCCATTTCAGATGCTCAGAAACATATCTAATGATTTTATTTAGTTATTTTTTTCGAAAAAAAGTCGTTTAAAAATAAGTGGTTTGCGATCGTGATTTTACTTTACCTGATAGGGAAAAGCGTACCGGCAACGCCGCAACAGCACACCGTCGCATTTCTCTCACTCCGACTTAGTAAGATCCCTTTAATATTTACTTCCACACATGTAAGTTCCGACCCAACCCAAAAGTAACAGTTGCCAGCACGGTATAGGAAACCTTGTATTGTAGTAATTCTCCTTACCCGATAATTCCATAAGTCAGTATCGTAGGTATGACCCTACGCAACCCGTCCCAGCTGGACTCGAACCTGGGCAAGGCCACGAAACTAGGCGACCTGGGTCTCTCTATGGCGTCGCTCACCCCGAAAATGCTGATGGAGTTCTGGATGCTGTTGACGAACATGCTCTTGTACTGGTCAGGGTTGACCAGCGGTTTCTCGCACTGATAGTAGTGAGGCATGTCGTAGGCTGACCCTAAATCCACGTAGAAGGCGTTGAATTTGTATTTGTTCATGACAGATCTCAGTTTGTCCAGGAGCCATGGAATGGTACGGTTGTTGGTTACGTCTAGGACGCCAGCGCTTTGTAAGGTTTTGTATCTGAAAGAAAGTACTTTATCACATAAGAAATAATACCGTATGATCGAAAAAAAATGGCGTCCAGTTGGCTGGGAAATGACGATCGATGACATTTCCCATATAAATTTACATATAAAATGACAGCGATCTTCATTTCATAGCCATCGTTGACGCCGTTTTTTCTCGATCATATCATCCCATTCCATGAAAAACAACCCCATAAAAATACACTGCCTTTACCGTGTTTAATTGTAGGTGTTACGTATTTAGGATTAAACCTTGTATTGATTGGTCGCCTCACACGTCTCATTTCATCAGAATTGAATATTTTGTAACGCGTTTCATCCCTGACAGAACTTTTTTCCAGTCATTGACGGTCCAGTCTAAATGCCGACGTGCAAATGCCAACCTTGTTGCTCTATTTCTTTCCGAAACTCTTTGGCTGAATATCTACTAAATAACTTTGCATCTACTAATCTTCTTTGTACTGTTCGTATACCAACCGTAATTTCTGGAATATCGGCAATAATTCTAGGTGCGGACTTCCAAGGATCATTTTAAGCAATTCTTTTGATGCGTCTGTCGGTCATTACTGTTGTTTTCTTTGGCCTTCCCGATTTTGGCAACTTTTCTAAGTGTCCCCTGTCATTATACGATGAAATTATTTTACATACACTGTACCTGGGTAGCACAAATTGTCTTGAAATATCGGCTTGTTTGTTACCTTCCATAAATGCATTCACAAATATTTGCTTCAAGTCTTTTGAAATTGGAATTCCTCTAGGCATGAATAATCCAGTATAGAAATGTTTAAAAAAACATAAAATAAACCTCGCACAATTAATTTGGCCTTTACTTTTGCTAAAACCCTTCTTTGGAATGAATTATGTTGCTCTACTTTTGACGCGTTACTATTAAGCATTTAAAACTAAATGTCAAAATAAATTCATTTGTTTTGTTTTGGTTTAGTTTGGTAAACATTCTTGCTGTCATGGATACTCATAGCCTACTTCGTAGTTTTTAAATTTATTCTATTTGTATAAATTATCATGCATGTATAATTAAAAAATCGCGATTTGCAGATATTTCTCGAAGTGTTGCTCTATTTTTGTCCGATAGTGTATTTTGGACAACTAATACACAGCTCGGGATCTCTACTACCATAAATCAACCGAAGAATTAAGTTAGCATGGAGTACTTATGGAAGAAACTCGATCATATTCAAATCTAGATTGCCACTTTATCTAAAGAAGAAAACATTTGACCAATGTGTACTACCAGTCATGACCTATGCATGCGAGACCTGGACACTTAAAACGGATATTATAATGAAACTGCAGGTCGCACAACGCTCAATGGACCAAAACATGCTGGGAATAACCAAGAAAGACCGTAAAAGAATAGAGTGGATACGACAAAATATCCAGGTAATAAATGTCGTCCACAGAATCAAATTCCTCAAGTGGCAATGGATAAGACACCTGGCAAGAAGGACAGACAACAACTGGACCACAAAAATTACAACATGGCACCCACGAGGCATTAAGAAGCCTAGAAGAAGACCAAACCTGAGATGGGACCATGATATTAGGAAATTAGCAGGAATAACTTGGTATTGCATAGCCAACAATTGACAACAATGGGCTCAACTACCAAGAGAGCATCTAAATATGTGAGGGAGGCTACACCCTACACCATAATTGGAAATGGTTGAATAAGCTGAAGATGATAATGATGATGATCAAGTAAATGAATATTGAGGCTAAAATTAATTAACAACTTACCTTGTCAAAGCAGGGATTCTTCTATCACTAAACCTTTCCGATACCAGCAACCTTTTCTTCACTGCTTCAGCAAAATTGTAACTCTCCGTAGATATGAAGGGTTGAATAGTGAAAACTACCCTAAACCCTCTTCTGATCAGCATGTCAATGGTTTTCTCCAGGGTAGGAAATCGTTCGGTATCTACACGGAAATCTCCAATTTGGTCTTGCCAGAATTCGTTGATGAGCACGTGACCTTGTTTCAAAGTTCCTAGAGCTATGACATCCTCGGTGAAGTTGGATACGGCTTCTATTAAAAAGTAGATTCAGTTTAATGCCAGAGAGAAAAAATACTCAGATTTCGTAATTGTTTTCAAGTAATATTCAGTTTTTGTTGTAGATGGTAACTATATTATTTTTCCAACAAAATCCCAAAATGCAAAAATCAACCTTGGGATAGAATATAGTGCAAAATTTTTTGATAAAAGTATTGCTATATAAATTCAAGGTGTTTCATTTAGTACCTTCAGTAAGAGTTTGCTTATTGTCTGATGTGATCTCCCATAAAGGTTCAGCCAGTAGACTTTCTATAATACCACCATCTTCCTTCTTCAAGCCGTCCCAAAGAGTATGCTCGCTATAAAAGAAAAAAGTGTTTTTTATTATTATTTATATTTCAAAAATACTTCTTTTTTGTTTTTTTTATTATTTTTGCGAGGATTCCAACGTCTCATATTTTTTTAAATAATGCTGAATTGTGTTGTGGTAACTTCAAAAATAATGCAAGGATCAATAAAAAATGATGTATCTATACAGACCCGGTCATCGTAAGTCTGGTTTGGATTTATACGTGTAAGAATTAAATTTCAACATGTTAAATAGAGACTAAAGATGGGCTGATATATTTCATTAAGGGTGGCTGCAACGACCTCCCGTAATCCTGCTGTTAAAATATAACAGCTGGTTTTTATATATAAAAACTTGTTTTGTTTTAACAGCAGGATTATGGGAGGTCGTTGCAGCCACCCTTAGTGGTATCATGGTTTAAAAGACAGATTATATGCATGTGTATTGTGTAACGTCAACGTATATTCAATCAGTGAAGCGAACGCCATTACAGGGAAATGTAATAAAAAACAAAAAAAAACTATACTCCATCGAGGTTCAAAATACATTCAATGTTGTTGTTAGTAGCTTACCTTAGTTTGGAGTGAGTATCGGACATGTTGGCTCCAACGCATATGCTGTAGTTCAACTCTGGAGCAACAGCAAATCTGTTAACGAACGCAAAATCGTCGTATTTGGCACTGAGGCACAATTCTCTCTTTTCGTCACCCTGTATCGATACGTACAGGGGTGTTTTTTCGTCCACTATGATTGCAGCGCCTCGTGAATTGATGAAGTAGCGTTTCAGTACGTTGCCTGAAAAAATTGATAATATTTGTACATTCGCAAAACACATCCTGTAAAACTACTGTTACTAACGATAAGTTTAATAAGTCGTATGCTCTTAATATTGTCTGTTCAATGAATATCTTACCCCATTCGTGATGTTCGACGTTTCCTGTAACAAAAGGTTGAAAATCGTGCAATCCTTTTTCTAAAGGCCACGCTGATTCTTGTGTTTGACCACCACCATACCTATTAAAAAACAATTTTTGTGATTAATGACTCACCAGTACAAAAAGCGGAAACCTGAATATTTTCACGCACTTACTTTAAATTTGGACATGATTTACTATCGGACACAATTAGGTACTATTGGATATGAATTTTATTCAAATTCTTACCAGTGCAAATTTGATCTCATCTCAAAACAGTCTGTAGGTGAAAGATGTTCGTTGAGTGATAACCATTTTAAGTTATAACACCTTATATCTCCTTGCATGGTGTACAAATGAAGGTACAGCCGTGCTCTGTCCATCCATTCCATGCATATGGACCCATTGCGTTCATCGTGGGGCAAACAGGGCAAAACATTAACAGAATTTATGGTGGTACCCAATCGGGCATGGACAACTTCGGATGCTGTAATTAAAAAGAATATTGCATACAGTGTGTCCCTTCGGAACTAGTTCGATTGATATAGCAAAAAGTACGGGGTGTCCCATTTTCGCTAATTTTTTTCTGATTACTTTGTTGCTGTAAAGGAAAAATGATTGGAGTTTTAGTTTCGTGAAACATATATCGTCCCGTCAAATGCTGATTGCCATGATGTGAATTGTGAATTCTTTTCTCTTTATTTTGTTATGATTACGTGCGTCTTATAAAAATAAGTTATATTATGCTCAACGAGATAATTTCTTTTTTCAAATAGAAACCCATTTTTTTATTTTACCAATGAAAAGGTTTTTCAATTCCTTACTTTTTGATTATACATTTGTCTATACGTAAAATAAATCGTTTTTAAGTTATTATTAAGATTTAGTTTTAATGCGTAAATTTTTCATGATTTTATCTAGCTTCCTTTGATATTAAGTGTCAATCAGACAATTTCTTTCCTTCTGTCAAAAAACGAATTATTTCAGTTTTGTTATTATAAATACTGACTAAAATTTGTATTTATAAAAGTATATCACGTATTTTAGTGATATGTAATAGTTGATATTAGTAATAATAATATGATCGAAAAAAAACGGCGCAAAGTTGGCTTGGAGATGACATGGCCAAATATATTGTTTTACATCGCTTGATGTTTAAAGTTTGGATAGTACTGGTTAAAAACCAGAAAAATATACGCTTTAAAACTAAATCTTAAATAACTTAAAAACGATTTATTTTAGGTATAGGAACCTGTATAATCAAAAAGTAACGATTTAAAAAACCTTTTGACTAGTGAAATAAAAAAGGTAGGTTTCCGTTTGAAAAAAATGATTTAAGTTAATTTTTTAATCTCTCAATTCCATGACAGCTACGGCCAATATTATATGACATTCAAACAATTAATTTTTTGAAATAGAAAGCCACATGTATTCTCTTTATGTCACAGTGGCTGTGATAATTACTAAATTTGACTTTTAGGCTATACAAATTTTTTTGGCAGGCAGTTTTTTTAGTCCAAAAATTTTAAATATTTTTTTTGCTCAAAAACGGTTAATGTTAGGTATAGAGTGTTTAACATTAATATTCATAGAATTTTACCGAGAATTTACGTATGACGAGAATATACGCTTTCAACTTCCCGTATTTGCTGTAAGTGCCGCTATATTGAAAATATTATTAATGGATCTAATATGTTACGGTTAAGGTCCGATGTCCGGTTAATGTCGACATTACCCGGTGAATCTTAAGAATAACACACAACAAAACAACCAAAAACATAACCTAATCCAAACATTAACATGTTAATGTCGACATTAACCGGACATCGGACTTTAACCGTATATAACAGATATGTATATCTCGTTGTAAAACAATGATGTTGGAGGGACACCCTGTATAAATGTCAATATAAATAATAACGTTTAAGGTTTATGTAATCAAATTATTAACATAATTAACTAAACAATAAATTTAAACCAACTAAGTTAATAAACATATTCATACCATTATAGGGCTTGGTTCTCTCTACAATTTCCTGTTTCACAATGTACCGTTTATGTCCAGAAAGGGTTCATAGTTGTCGATTTTCGAAAGAAATCAGTACAGTACATTTTATTGATTTTATGGAAATAACTGTTCATTAAAATGTTGTATCCTATGTTATAGGGCTTGATTCTCTCTACAATTTCCTGTTTTGCAATGTACCGTTTGTGTCCGGGAAGGGTTCATAGTTTCATAGTTGTTGATTTTCGAAAGAAATCAGTGCATGTATTTCGTATATTTTTCATTTTATTGATTTTATGGAAATAACTGTTCATTAAAATGTTGTATCCTATGTCATAGGGCTTGTTTCCCTCTACAATTTCCTGTCTCACAATATACCGTTTGTGTCGGGGAAGGGATCATAGTTTCATAGTTGTCGATTTTCGAAAGAAATCAGTGCATGTATATTATTTCGTATATTTTTCATTTTATTGATTTTTTGGAAAGCACTGCTCATTAAAATGTTGTATCCTATGTTATAAGGCTTGTTTCTCTCTACAATTTCCTGTCTCACAATGTACCGTTTGTGACCAGGAAGGGTTCATAGTTTCACAGATGTCGATTTTCGAAAGAAATTGGTACATGTATATTATTTCGTATATTTTTCATTTTATTGATTTTATGGAAATAACTGTTCATTAAAATGTTGTATCCTATGTTATAGGGCTTGTTTCCCTCTACAATTTCCTGTCTCACAATGTACCGTTTATGTCCGGGAAGGGTTCATAGTTTCATAGTTGTCGATTTTCGAAAGAAATCAGTACATGTATATTATTTCGTATATTTTTCATTTTATTGATTTTATGGAAATAACTGTCCATTAAAATGTTGTATCCTATGTTATAGGGCTTGTTTCTCTCTACAATTTCCTGTTTCACAATGTACCGTTTGTGTCCGGAAAGGGTTCATAGTTTCATAGTTGTCGATTTTCGAAAGAAATCAGTACTTGTAGGTATATTATTTCGTATATTTTTTATTTCATTGATTTTATGGAAAGCACTGTTCATTAGAATGTTGTATCCTATTTTATAGGGCTTGTTTCTCTCTACAATTTCCTGTTTCACAATGTACCATTTGTGGTATTTCTATTTTTTATTTTTTTTTATTTAATAATAAAAATTATACAGAGTGTCTAAAAATTTATTTTAAATAATTACTAGCTTTAAACGGCAATAACTTGTTTAATTTAAATTGAACGAGCGATTGATAAAAATGGTTTATTACAATTTGATAGATAATTAAATTGTACATCTCATTCTCCTAAAATATACAGGGTGTTCGATTTAAATTAAACAAGTTATTGCTGTTTAAAGCTAGAAATTATATAAAATAAATTTTTAGACACTCTGTATGAGGTAGTATTATTTTTATTATTGCAACACAATAACTGATCAATAAATAAACTTCAGTAAATATTTAGTATTAAAAACTTTGATACCCTTTACCCTTGGAGAAAAGAAGCCTTAAAATTTTTATTGCAATTTCACAAAATTGAAAATATTTCAAAAACGGTAAGGTTTAAGTGTGATAAACCTTAATCAAATTTACCTTTATTTCTACCTTTTTACCTTATCGTAGAAACTAAAAATGTAATAATATACAAGGTGTTCCATTCAAAAAAATACAACTATGATATTTTTTATTCATTTGGGACACTGTATCTTGTAAAAATATTTTTAAATTGTAGTTCTAATAACCCTTCAACGAACCCAAAACATACAATCTGTAAAAATCCAATTGTTTAGCTACAATACTCCGTGTTGTATGTGGTGAACAACCCTGAATAATATTGTTGAAATTGCTACTCTGTTTGTTAACACATTAAAATGACTACAGTTAATTTAATTGAATTTGGAATTTTAGATATTTTTTAAAATTTTTACCATTATGGGTTGAATTTATAGTTATTTTTTATACAAGACGATAAAATGGTTTATCGTTCACCTAAAAGATTAATTATTTACTTCCGGGAGACGATAATGCAATTTTATCGTCGTGTATAAAACAATTTTTTTTCCATAACGAGTTACATTTTAAAAAATATTCAGAAATTATTATTTCAAGGAATTTATTACGAGTAGAAAAAATATTGTGCTGGGTTGGCGTTGGTTTCTATGTAATTTGACAAATAAATAAAGCTGTCTCTTTAGTTGTCAGTTTTGAGTCAATATTTTTAATTCTCTTTCGTGTCGATTGCTGATTGAAAAAAACGAAAAAAGTAAATTACCAACAAATATTCAGGCTGAGGCTACAAACGCCATATCCAAACTACTTCCATTTAAATCTCGAATAACTTATGAAAAGGAATACAAAAATTTTCAAAATGGAAGCAATTAAAAAACGTGCGAGAAGAAATAATTTTTTTAACCTATCCTCGCTGTTAAAGTATCATTTAATCTACCCTTGCTGTTAAAGTACTATTTTATCTATTATTTTTGATAGATATAAGGCAATTTTAACAGATGCTATGGAAAAAAGCTATAATTCTTTTGAGCGCTGTTACAAAAAGCTAGAATACCCCGTATATTCATATAAATAATAGGGTAATACATTTTAAAATAAATTATAATGGGTGGTATGCAAACTACTTCACTACTTACCGTCGTTATTGTATATCATCATTATCCTATTGTTTTTATTTAATTTGATCCGTTCGAAGTAGGCTTTGGCCAGGATTTTTTGGTTGTACAACGTGTACGCACAGGATATTAACACTATTATCACAACGAACAGGAACACTACGAACACTTTGATTTTGTAGTCGTTGGACTTCTTTTTTCGTATTGTCTGAGGTAGATTCTGAAAAAAAAGATTTCATTTTGAAAACCTTGCAAAACTAATTATGTATACAGGGTTGTTCACCACATACGACACGGAGTATTGTAGCTAAACGATTAAATTTTTACAAATTGTAAGCTTTGGTTTCGTTGAAGAATAGTCCTTCAACGAAACCAAAGCTTAAATTATTTTAGATACAATTTATTTGGGACACTCTGTATCTTGTAAAAATATTTTTAAATTGTAGCTAAACGATTAAATTTTTACAAATTGTAAGCTTTGGTTTCGTTGAAGGACTAGTCAGACAGCTTACAGAGTGTCCCAAATAAATTGTATCTAAAATAATTGTATATAAAAAATATCAAAGTTGTATTCTTTTAAATGGAACACCCTGTATATTATTTCATTTTTAGTTTCTACGATTAAAATAAAGCTAAATTTGATTAACGTTTATCACACTTAAACCTTACCGTTTTTGAAATATTTTCAATTTTGTGAAATTGCAGTAAAGATTTTAAGGCTTCATTTCTCCAAGGATATCAAAGTTTTTAATACTAAATATTTACTGAAGTTTATTAATTGATCAGTTATTGTGTTGCAATAATACTACCTCATACAGAGTGTCTAAAAATTTATTTTAAAAAATTTATAGCTTTAAACGGCAATAACTTCTTTAATTTAAATGGAACATCCTGTATATTTTAGGACAATCAGATGCACAATTCAATTGTATCAAACTTGAAGATTAAATTGTGCATCTGATTCTCATAAATTATACAGGGTGTTTGTAGAAATTAGTTGATTTTGATGGAATTTTATAACATAGTATGCCGCTGTTAGACGGCATTTATTTACCGGGTTAAGTGCATTCCGTCGTCAACAACAAATTAACTCAATTTGCCACCGGCATTCACAATTAGAAATATCATGCCGCCGGTTGTATGCATTTTTTGTATATTGTCTGTAAATACAAGTTATTTATTTACCTGTATTTTTTCTCTAAGTAGACTGGCTAATGAATTGACGGAAGTGATAGAATTGGCTGGTGAATGATTTCCTGGGAAATCATTGGGATCGGGTGGACTCAGCATCCTGGGGCTTACTGTTATTGATTTTCTTCGCACATTCCTGGACCCACTGTAATAAAAATGAATGTATTATTTTACTATACAATTTGGAAAAAAAAATCAAAAATTCTATTAAAGGTATTTCTTCTAAAACAACTCTCCCTTTCCACAATTGAGATAAATATTCTCCATAATTACACAGTAGAAAATGGCCATTATATGGCAGAATATTCCTCTTTATTTTTAATAAGGATTAAGTTACACATACATTTTAATTGGTAGTATATACCGGGTGCGTCTCAAAAGTGGCTCATCCCTATAACTTTTTATTTTTTTAGATAAATAAAAATTTGGTACGTTAGTATACAGGGTGTTTCAAAACAAATGCGAAAAACTTCAGGGGGTGATTCCTTGTTCTAAATAAAGGGTAGTTTGCTTCATAAACGTTGGGTCAAAAGTCAACCATTAGGGAGATATCGCGGTACAAAGATGGCGGAAAAATAATGTTTTTATTTTTTATCTTGAAAACGAAAAGAGATAGACTAATGAAATTTTATGGAAGCATTACTGTTATGAAAACACACTTTCTGGTAATTTTTTCATTTTTTTAAAATGAGTGGAAGAGGTTGAAATAAACTGCCCCTATCATTCTTGTTAACGAAATTTAAAGAAAAATCTTATCAAACGCATGCAAAAAAATTAATTTGGATAGTTTAGTTTGTTTAGAAGCTTTTTTATCTCTTGTGTTTTTTTGATAAAACTCACCGATTTGAAATTAAAAAATAAAATGTAAAGCATTACATGTCAGGACAAAAACATTTTTAAATTAAGAATCTAGTGATAATAACGATAATAATAATCATCTAGATAATAACATATTGCAGTAGAGTAATGTCAAATAAAATAATATTAGGAACATCCTAAAAAGTAACAGCGGCCGACTAGATTTTTTTCCTAAAAAAATTACAGCAGCCCACTAGATTCTTTATCAGAAAATGTTTTTTGTCCTGACATGTAATGCTTTACTTTTTATTTTTTAATTTCAAATCGGTGAGTTTTATCAAAAAAATACAAGAGATAAAAAAGTTTCTAAAAAAACTAAACTCTCTAAATTATTTTTTTTGCATGTGTTTTATAAGATTTTTCTTTAAATTTCGTTAACAAGAATGATAGGGGTAGTTTATTTCAACCCCTTCCACTCATTTTTAAAAAAGTGAAAACATTACCAGAAAGTGTGTTTTCATAACAGTAATGCTTCCATAAAATTTCATTAGTTTTAAGATAAAGTTTCAAGTTTTCGTTTTCAAGATACAAAATAAAAACATTATTTTTCCGCCATCTTTGTACCGCGATGTCTCCCTAATGGTTGACTTTTGACCCAACGTTTATGAAGCAAACTACCCTTTATTTTGAACAAGGAATCACCCCCTGAAGTTTTTCGCATTTGTTTTGAAACACCCTGTATATATGACATAAATTAGGATTGATTAACGTATTCAATTGTTTTCTGTTACTTCCTGTTTCACCGGAAATGACTACAAACTTTTGATTTGTAAATGGCACCCTTGATATTTTTTTTACTTTATTCGAAAGAAAATGACACTCTGAACAGAATGACATATCATATGTCATCTTTTGACATTTTCGCTTAAAAAAATCGTATTTTAAATCGCAGCCTAGAGTGCCATGGCTGTGTTATAAACACTAATTTGTAATCAAGGAGCTTTGGAAAGTAAATTTGATAGTCTAATGTTTTTCGGGTCTTGTCCTGACCGGTTCCCCGTGGGTCAAATAACCCAAATCGTATTTTTAATCATATCTTATTTTTTTTTAAATGAAACGAGGGTGGTTCATTTGCATATTTAGAAAAAACATTTTTTACGAATAATTTGGTACCACACACTTCGTATTTCGAGTCAAATTATCGTTATGAACCGCATGTTACAATTTCAAATAAATCATATGAGAAACCGTCAAAAGTTGATATATGGTCATTCTATTCAGAGTGTCATTTTCTATCGAATAAACTAAAAAAATACCGAGGGTGCCATTTAAAAATCAAAAGTTGTAGTCATTCCCGGTGAAACAGGAAGTGATAAAAAAACAATTGAATACGTGAATCAATCCTAATTTATGCCATATACTAACATACAAAATTTCGTTTTTTATGTTAAAAAATAAAAAAGATGTAGGGGTGAGCCAGTTTTGAGACGCACCCGGTACATAAGAATTATGATTTTTGCTCTTGTTTATTAGAATAAACCCATACATCTTTTTGAAAAGCTTGTAAAAAACAAATTAATTTCTTGACATATACACGTGTTATCCCATTTAAAAAAAAAACTAAATTTTGGTCAGTATCTGAAAAACGAGAATATATGTATTAAGAAATAAAGTAACTACGCCACTGGATTCCGTGTAAAAAGTTGTGTAATAATCCGTTTTTACTTTATCTTTTAATTGTCAGATAACTGAGATAAGACGATTGCTTGAAATTGAAACATTTTCAAAATCACCCTGTATTACCAAAACAGAGAATAAGACAAGTTTGTTTTGCAGTATCCTCGGTTTCACAAAAAAGTAGCTTTGATTAAATAAATAAATAACTTAATTGTAACCAAAATGGGACACTCTGTATACTAAAATTTTCATTCTCCTATTAATTTTTGATTTTAAAAAGTATGTAATTTAAAATATATATATACTGTATGATTAAATGAGAGTAATTATTTTTACTATTGACTTAAATTATTACCTGTAATTTAAAAATATTATACCTTATACTAATAAATACCTATAATAAATGATACATTCAAAAATAAATTAATCAAGTCAAATACCCAATAAACGTAAATAACATTTTTCACTGTTTAACTTTCTTTTCAAAATTTTATGATTTACACTGTATACACTGCATGTATACTTATTTAAACAATATAATAATTACAACTAAAGTGTCGTGTTTACTTGTGCTGGTACTTTTTATTCCGTTATCTTCTCTATTTTGTCATTCTTTTTGACAGGTAAAGCATGATAAGGCGCAATGTCATAAATATCTGTTAAAAGTACCATAAAATGAATAACTTTAATGATACCAGTGGATTAAACTAACATTTACTTTTAATTTTATATAATTAAAGATTCGCATATTTGGGGATTTTTACAAAAAAATAGATACTCATTCATTTGTCATTGCTTAAACGTTTTATACATAGATAAAGGAAATAAATTTAGATTGGAATGCCCGGCTTCCCGCTAGAGGTACGCGCACATTGACCAGAGCCGTACTCGCCTCACGAATCGCACTTTTTTTTCTTGTCGCGCACACTGAGCCGTACCGAACGCGCCGCATTGTTCGCTATTTTGTTTCTTTTTGCCCCAACTCCACCCGTATTTGCCAATCGAATTTCTCATCAGTCGCTTCCAGAGTCCTGTTTGCGGTGATAACCGTGTTTTTTCATATTTCTCGACAATGAATGACAACGAACAAGAAATAATTATAAGCTCCTTGCTAATAGAAGAAGAAATCACGAGAAAGAATAGAAAGTTATAAGTTCACAATATTTGCAGAAATCCACATTATTTCCATATTTAATTGAGGATGAACTAAAAATTTTTCAATATGAGCCTTGAAAAATTTGCGAACTTTCTTAGCATATTGAATTTCTAATCTCCTCTTCGGCTACCTAGTGGAAGGAATTGCGTGTGACGTCAGCAGCACTAGCCGCATTTATCGAAAATCATTCTGGCCCAACAATGCTGGCCGCATTTTCGTCGATGCGATTCGTGCGGCTCTGGTTAGTGTGCGCACCTTCATTGAAAGTAATTGGCATTCGCCTCTATTGGTACGTGCTTTCAAGTTGCGCGCGCTCTACGCGCAAACGGCTGGCGGCGAACCATCTCCAGTCGGTTTTTCGACGCTCCGCTTTCTATATAATATGTTCGTTGTTCGATTGGGACGGCCGGTGAAGACACCGCGCGCATCAGTGACTATGTGTATTTTCTTTGATTAAATTACCTTTTTTGTGTTTTCTTTGAATATTTTTTATTAATGGAGTGTTTAAAGAGTTGCACTACTGATCACTAAAATTGCGTAGTTCTTCTTGGACGATAGAGACATGATTAACGACGAAACGAATGTTCGCGGGATTTCTATGGATCGCGGGATGTTCGTTAACACAATAAATGTAACGCGCGGCCAATGCCCGTTATTTGTACATATTTGAGTAATTTACGACTAGACTGGCTTGGTTTAAGTTTTAGTGTGTGTTGTTCTTTTGCGATGGATACTTCAGACGAAGAATTTGTGACATTGTGTGTATTTTTAGATGATTATTGGATTAAATAAAGATGTGGATAACCACGAATAAAATTAATCAATTGTTCTTCATTCATAGTATCCACAAACACAGAACTGCGTGATAATATAACGTTAATATAAATAACTTGCGCTAACCTTTCTTGTGCATCGTGCGTATTTTGTAAACATTCTATTGAAAACCGGAGGGGGCTGTGGAACCACGGAAAAAAATCGCTCGGCAAGCAATCCCAGCGACTCCCTTCCGTTCCGATCGATTCCTCGCGGCTCCGATCCGCGGTAGTAAGTAATTAGTACGCGGCAGTGTTGCCAGATGAAAATATGTAATATCCGTATTTCGTTGGTCGAAATATCCGTAAATGTATAAAAAAATCCGTATTTATACAGGGTGAGTTTTAAATAAGGGCAAATATCTTCAGGGCTGGTATATTTCGACCCCAGAAACAGGGCTACGAGGTGTTTCGCAAAAAATGTGATAAAAATTGTACACTTAAAAGGGGTGCAAATACAGAAATTAATAAAAAAAGCTCTCAAATTTTTTTTCAAATATATATTTTTTTTCAAATTCTCAAACTTGAATAACTCGGTTATTTTGGACTTATTTGAAAAACGGCAAAGAGAAAATATGTTATCGAGAATCGAGATCTACCACCCCTGAAAATATTTGTACTTATTAAGACTCACCCTGTATTTTATTGATCATTAAGTAATTCGTGTTAAACATAAAATAAATATCAAATATAAACATTTTA